CAGGAAAGTTCCAGGTATGGAGCTTGAAATTGTGCTTTCCCTGTAGAATCATAAACAGCACTACTTTCCTGTTAGCCCTGATGGGTGACAGTACCCATGGGTATTGCTAACTGGAATGCTGACTCAAACCTTTGTGTCAGAGTTTTTATTGAGGCTCCATGGCCGACTGCCTACAGTGCTGCCCACAGACCTTAGTGTGCAGCCCTCCAGAGTTTGAGTTGATCCATGTAACTCAAAGTACTGACCATAGTCAAATTTTTAGGCTTTCTGGTGTGGCCCAAAGCCCCCTTATGAACAAGGACAACCTTGCTAGGCATGACATTCTAAGAGTTTGAGATAACTGTTGAAGCCTCAGGTAAAAATCCGTAACTCTTTCAATAATAGAAATTCTTTATAGTTTTACAATAGTTAAATATATTTTCCTTTTTCATCAGTCTACAATGTTTAATTCAGAGTTTGATTTATAATTAAAAGTTGGTAACAAAGAACCAATAAATGGATACTTGAGATTTAGTATTAGAATCACTTAATATGTAGATAGCTAAGGAAATTTCACCAAGAAATTATATTAGCTTATTATTTTAATACTGCAGAAGTGATGCAGACTCATTTATAACTTTGATGAAATGACTCAATTCTGTTTTATTAAATTTGAACTTAAATTTTTCAGTGAGAAGAATTTTATGTAATAAGATCTCTGAGCTTTCCAAATGAATGTTTCACCCTAGACTCATACTTAGGGCAGTTTCTAATGTAAAAGTGATGCATGCAGTACTCATGTATAGTTTCCCTTCTCTCTGTCCTCATGAGAGCATGTCTGAATCCAGGTGAGTAAGAGAAATTATAGGGATAACAGTGGGCTTATTTTTAAAAGGTAAATCATTTTTAATCATTTTTTCAAGCAGTATAAACTGTTAATACAAAAACTTCCCAGTTTAACCTACAGCTGCTCTGTGACAGTGACACTGCCTTTGAGTACTATTGCTTTAGAAAGTAAACATTCCTCCCTCTCTGGCTTTCGTGAAAATCCCATTTCCTGATTTATATAATTTACAAATTAGATCTCAGCACCAGAGTGCAATCCCTTAGTGAGCCTAGCCAGAAATAATTCAGAGCACTGTGATGCTCATTGGAGTGGCACTACTAGGTGTGGTGTTTGCATCAAGTCATTTTGGGTTGCTTTATGGGAGACACTTCCGTTGTTTTTTTGTTTTGTGTTTTTGAGGCAGGGTCTCAGTATATAGCTCAGGCTGGTCTTGAACTCACTATGTACCCTAGCCTGCCCTCAAGCCCATGGTCCTCCTACCTCAGCTTCCTGAGTGTTGGGATTACAGGCATGCATCACTATGCCTGGCTGGAATTGCTTTCTAATAGAGAATTCCGTGACTTCACGCTTCCCAGAGGTGGCTTTATTTATTTTGGGGGTGGGTGGTGGGGGAAGGTTGCTCTTCCCAATGCTTATAAGAAAGAACTGGGCCATAAGACTGTTTAAGCAGGAGATAATATCCCTAACACATGGTGGATTGTTGATGGTGAGGTCTTAAGGTTGTGGGTCTTTCAAAATGGATGACTGCCTAGGTTTATTACATTTTCTGTATCTTGACTATAGGTAACTAAAATGAATGGTACTGTATTTGCATGCAATTTGTATGTTACGGTTATGTGCCTCACATTTTTTGGTTGCTACTTTAAGCTTCTTTGTCTTCTAAGATAGTGTCTTTTCATCTTAATTTTGCTTCAACATGGGAACCCAAGGGTACCATAGTTCAACTAAAAGCACCTAACCCATGAATGATATTTGCTTCGTGTTTGAACAACAAATGTTTTAACCCACTGTCTTCACTAATATTGTAACTACTGTCTTACAGATTGACTTGATGCAAAACATCACAAAGGCTCCATATTATACAGTATGCGATTTTTGAGGTATGAGCTTTAGAAACTTACCTCTCATGTGGCATGTACATCAGGCTTTGACTTCAGTTTGATCACTTTGGGGAAATTTGTGCATTTCTTTTTTTTTTTTTCCCTCTTCATAATATTTTTAGAGTATTAAAGGGCTGTGGAGGTATTTTTAGATCCTTGGATTCTTAGCTTTCTTCAGATACATTTTCTTTTCCCACTAAATTAAAACTATTTCTGGCAGATGATACCTTTTTCAGCCCTTAAAACTTACTAGTTTAACATCGATGCCTGCCTCTAGGAGTTCATATCTGCATTTTCTATTTGGTGCCTTTGATTGCCTCATGTTAAGTGCTCATTTCCGTTCTTTAAGTTTTCTGTTTATTGGACTGGTGTGGTGATGTTAGTGCTAACAGCCTGACATTAATAGTTTTTGAGACCTAAGTAATCTAGATATTATAGACAGGGAGATTTCATATAAATGCTGAGCCATTTTGTGCTTTTGGGTTTGGAACGTAACCCGAATTCTTGGTGGAAGTGCTGTGACCAATTTGTATTAATAGAACTTGACAACTACAGTGCTTTTAGGCAGCTCTGAGATAGTAATTCCTCCTAATGAATTTGTTATATTTTTGAAAACCCAAATTTTTGGGGGGAAAAATATCTGTGTTCATAACTCTTTGGTATTTAAAAACCTATATTTCTAACAAATTGGAAAGTCACTCTGGGTTTTGTAAGTTTAGTTGGAAATCAAATGCATCCTAGGTAGAAATTTGTTGGTAGCAGTAAATTACTTCATTTCTTTAATGAAGAATTTAAAACAAACTGCTATATATTGAGTGTAAAAATTTGACTGTGTTTATATGTTCATGAACTGCTTGTATATTGTCTATTAAATTGGAAACCTTGAGTTTATTTTGTATTATGGTTATATTGACTCATAATGTATCCTGCAAGCTAAGAAGTTCTTAAGAATTATCGTATTTAAGCCTCACAGCAGCCTTGAGGTATGAAATAGATAGGAAAACCCTCCCCTCACTTTACACGAGAGAAACCCGAGGCCTGCAGATGAAGTAATTTATCCAAAGGCACACGTACCTTTTCAGGGCTGGAGCTGGGATTTGAGCCCAGATCTTTTTTTAATCTGTATTCTCTGTTGCCTTATGTTACTACTTTGTCACCAGAAAAATGATACAAGTATTTAACTCTTTAATAGTAAAGATAGTATAGGTGATGCATAAGCACTATGAAAACAGGAAATGAAGGCATGTTTAAATATTGGTAGACATCATCTGTCTTTGTGTATCATAATTAGCCCTGTGTTTATTTGTTCGTTTCTAGTAGCTCACTTTTCTAGGTTGTTTTAGGTGCCATTATGTAGACAACTTCAAAACCTGCCAGAAAAGCTCATGATCTTTATTCTTCAGTCTACTTTCAGAAGGTCATGATGTGTCATGTTTTATCATAGATGCACATTTAATATGCTATTTTTAGAAACATTGGTAATAACTTTCCATTACTTAAAAAAAAAGTTCTTGTGCTCCATTGAATGTTAATGCCTGCTTACGTAGTATACTTGGAAGGTATCCTACTACATAGTTTTTGAAATTGCATAGATTTTATTTTTTCATGTTAGAAATACCTAGCTTTATCTATGAATAAGTAAACTCTGAAGAAGATGCTCCATTGTGGACCCTTAGCTATTTTACTGTAGTAGTTATGGAATTTTAATAAGTTTCAGATTACAGCCTTTATAAGTAATTTAACTTGTGCCACTTAGGTATCCAAGTTTAATGGGAATTGTTGTCATTGTGTATTAATAGTGATTGCAAGTAGGTACAGACCAAGGTGTCTGAACCTTTTGAGCCTATGGAATGGATTGAGCCTATGGAATGGTTTGTGTTGAGTACTTTTGTGAGTGGGGAAAACAGGGTGATAAATTCTAAATGAAATATGTATACAAACTCTACTGCCAGTTTTACAAATGGGAGGGGCATGAGGGTTGAGGAGTAGGTTACTTTCTGCCCTTGCTAGTGTCCTAAACTTTCTAAAATGATTATGGGTTCAGAAGATGTTTTCAGTAAGTATAGACGTGATTACTTTTTTTTTTTTAAAGGTGTTTCTCTCAGGAGAGCAACTACTTATTTGTATTTTTCATATGCTGTAATAGAATATTTTCTTTCTTGACAATTTATGATTGGTGGTTGGAAGAATAAGATTCATGGGAAATCTTGCAGTTCAGTTCTGTTTTACTGATGAGGAAATGGAGGCATAGAGCAGATAAGAGCTGATACTTGGTAAGAATGCTTATTTTACTCTGGGCTCTATCACTTGTTTCTTAATGTCCAAGTATTGGGTATTCTAAAGAGTACTTAAATACAGATTGTGAGCCTCAGCCTTCAGATTCAGCTTTATTGTATGCCTTATGCCTTCTATTTTCTTTAGGCTTTGTTTCCTCACTTTTTAAGTGGTTTTAATTGATCTTTTTTACAGTTAAAGCATCTTCATTGAGCTCCTTTTGTATTGCAGTGCATAAACAGACTCTTGCTTTGCAGCTCAAGTGTTCTTTCTGTACATTCTGTTGGGCTTACTTTCAAATATCATTCTATATTTTCCCACAAATAATTAAGTCAGTTCAGAGTTTAGGACACACTGCCTCTTGACATGCTTTTTTTTTTTTTTTTTTAATGACTAGGAAGTCTGAAAATTTTTGATTAACCTTCTCCTGTGGGGAGAGTTTAGGAAGAATTACTTTTTAAAATTACATCATGGGGACCAGAGTGACAAATAGTCCAGTTTTGCCTGGGACAGGGGACTGTAAAGTCCTGAACAAACTAGAATGAGTCACCCTCATCCTGGAGGTTATTCCTATTTCTGAATGGTCTTTAGTACGAGAAACAAAATAGCTGGCGAATGATCCATTGACAATTCTTCCAAGTTGAAGGGTTTGTTATTAGACAATGGAGTGCCTATACGTAATAGTAGCGACTGGGTATGAAAGTTAGAAGAGGAAAGGCTGTATAAAAGAAAGACTTAAGATGTTGACCATTAAAATGTTTGCTTAAAGTTCTAATCTGACATTTTTTCTGTCTTTACAGAACTGATAGTGCATCAGCCGACCCAGATAATTTAAAATATTCCTCATCAAGAGATAGGGGTGGTTCTTCCTCTTATGGACTGCAACCTTCAAATTCAGCTGTGGTGTCTCGGCAAAGGCATGATGATACCAGAGTCCATGCTGACATACAGAATGACGAAAAGGGTATGTTTATTTTCTTACAGCATGCTGGAGGCATGGTTTGTGTTTGTCTTTTTAACCTACCTACCTGTCATTTCCTCCCTCCCACCGTCTTCCTCCCAGCTCTCTTGTCCAGTAGGTAACAGATAAGCAGCATTATTTCTGAAAACTTTATAAGTTTACCCAGACTTTAAAATTTTAAATGCTTTTTAATTCACATAAATGCATTGTATATTTGCCAAAGGTACACAATATTGCAATATTGTCTGATGTTCCTCCTGAGTGTCCTCTGTACTTGTAAAAAGTGTGCAAACTGTAAAATTTGACTTAATTTAGTGTTAATTTCTCTGCTTATCTTCTGATGACATCAAAGTGATTTCAAGGCAGGCAGCCCAGGGAAGAGGTTGGAGAAGCAAAGGCTGGGCAAGTTGTGCATGGCAATAATCTTGAACTACCGGGAATTGATTGGGTGAAACGAAGGATACTGTTGAAGTAAATTTTCTGTTTCTAGGTGGCTACAGTGTCAATGGAGGATCTGGGGAAAATACTTATGGTCGGAAGTCGTTGGGGCAAGAGCTGAGGGTTAACAATGTGACCAGCCCTGAGTTCACCAGTGTTCAGCATGGCAGTCGTGCGTTAGCCACCAAAGACATGAGGAAATCACAGGGTAAGGCCGGAAAGCCGGTATCCACTGCATACTTCTCAACCAGAACTTGTGCCTCCTCTTAGCCCCCGATACCTCCTTTCTTACTAATGCCTGGTACAGGTGGGAGCTGAGTGGTTTGCTGTGGCTTACAAGACATATGCATTCTTTTCCTGGGAACTGTTAACTTCTCATGAGAAAGGCTTAGACAACTGGTAAGGTCTTAACATGAGTGCTAAATAGGTAGTGAAAACAGCAAGTCTTGTATACACGGGAACGTGACCTTTTTAAATACATCCCTGCCTCTGTCTGCCTTATAATTTGAGCTTTACTATATAGGTAAAGCACCTTTAAAATTCAGAGAATTAGAGATAATGTGCATTTTTTTTTCCTTAAAGGGGAATTTGTTTCATTGGTAAAGCTGAGTATGGCATTGAGATTTCTGATTTTATATGCTTTGTTGGATGTTTTACTTGGTGGCCACGTAGTATACGAGGACTCCTCCCATCCCCATCCGTGTATGTGTGCCTGTGAATGTGTGCATTGTATCTTGGTGAGCATTTATGTGCACTTCTTTTTTTTGTCTGTTTTATGGTATATAACTTGTACAAAGCCAGTTTTGTTTTTTGATGGGAGGTCAGTATAGAATGAGTAAGTTGAAGGCTATGCTATTTCTTAATATAGTGTTTGAAGTAGTACACTACAGCAGCCAGATAGTGACTCTGAAGTTATCGTAGTCCAGCTCCTCTTCTTGACAGCAGCTGTACAGTTTGCTAGTGGCAGAATTGTAAATGGCATAAATCCCTCAGCTGGTAACCTAATGATATTGTCATATCCATCCTTATTGATTGGGGTTGATAGAAATCCTGTATCTTCCCTCAGATGTTGTGGTTTCTCTTACTAGTTTTCTTTTCATGCTTTAGAAGTGAAACTGTCATACCCTTTGCTGTGGTTTGTTGTTGATGTTCGTATTGGCAGTCATGCATTTTTATTAACAGGGTTCACTGAGCATTTGTGTATGTTTTTGCAATGAGAAAATGGAAGAAAGGTTTGGATTTGCTACTTTTCTCTTGGTGGCATACTTTGCTCACGGTGGTAACTAGACATTTTCAAACTGACTGTATGGTTGCAGTTTGCCAGAACTTTGTCATAGAGAAGTGATGCTAAACAGGAAGCTCCTCTCCAGAGCGAGGTATACCTAGACAAGACATAGAAGCATGTATCCTTTTTCTAAGTGTGAAACTTCATCCCTCACCTATACAAGTCATTTACTTAAGCCCTTTCTTTTTGTTGTTGTTGTTTTGTTTGTCTTTGCCTTTGTTTTTGAGATGGTCTTGCAGTTTTACCTAGGCTGGTCTCGAATGCAAGGACTCAGGATTCCCTCCCAAGTCTCCCGAGAAGCTGGTTATGCAGGCATGCACACAGCTCCTGGCTACCCATTCTTTTTACCTGGATATTGAAAACAGCTTGGAATGGACCTGAAGAAAATTATTTCTAAATCTTTTTTTCTCTCATTGCTGGTCTTCTGGAATGAGTTCTTCCCTTTGTAATTTTTCATTCATTCTTTCTTTTCAGTGTGTGTGGGGGTGGGGAGGGGGTGTTGTCTGTGGACACTGCTGTGCTGAGTCTTTTTATAGAGAGATGAGCAAGAGTATTAGGGCCTGTGTTCCATGTCCAGTGAACTTCAGAACATTTATGTGGTAAGCTTCCTATGCTTATTTATAGTCAACTACAACGCACTGTTTATGTATTTATAGAGCGATCCATGTCTTATTCTGATGAGTCTCGACTGTCGAACCTTCTTCGGAGGATCACCCGGGAGGACGACAGAGACCGAAGACTGGCTACTGTAAAGCAGCTGAAAGAATTTATTCAGCAACCAGAGAATAAGCTGGTGAGGATAGTAGGTTTTGAATATAGTCAGTTGTTTCTGTGTTTCCATACTATCCAAGATAATGCTATCTTGAGTGTTTTAAGAAGGGAAAAAGAATTTGGGAGGCAGAGCTAGGAGGGTTTTGGTTTCAAGTCCAACATAGGCAAAAGTGCCTGCAAGACTCTATCTGAAAAATGAACTACAGCAAAAAAGCTGGGGGTGTAGATCAAGTGCTGGAGCACTTGCCAAGCAAGCGTGGGGCCCTGAGTGCAAACCCTGATATAAAAAAAATAACAGTGTGTGCGTGTGTTTCTTATTTTCTACTTTGTTGGACTATGCTATGATGATCTAGGACCCATGTGCTACTTACACACCCCGGTCCTTCCCATTGCATCCACATTGGCATCTACTGCAATGAAGTGCTTTTAATTTTTAACACATTTTAGCCAGAAGATAATTCTCTGTCTGCAGAAGTTTTCTCCTAGTGTTCCAGGACAGAGTACTTTTTCTTATGTGAAATAGAGGTATGGGGCACCTGTTTTGTTCATGTAAAGTTTGTTCTGGAGACCAGAGCTAAGGAAGTAGAAAAGCCCTATAATAAACCAAGTTCAGAAGCATTTAAAAATTTTCCTCCACTCCAAGAAATTTTCCTAATGTTTAATTAAGAGCTTGACATGAGGCAGGAAAATTACTAGGAACGGTAGAGTGAGGTAAATAACATTTGGTTTGAAGCAAAGCTCCTCCCCCTCAAATTTTATTATGAAAAATTGTATGTTTTTATTTTGTGGTGGTACTGGGGTTTGAACTCAGTACCTCATGCTTGCTAGGCAGGTACTCAATCACTTGAGCCATGCCTGTGCCCCAGCCCTATGCAAAGTTTTAAATATTCAGTAAGTTGATAGAATTGTACAGTGAATCTCGTGCCTTCATGCCTACCATTTAAATTTTGTCATAGCCATTTTACCATATTGCTTTAGTCTCTGTCCCTCCATCTTCTCCATTTTTAAATGCTTTCAGAGCATTTCAAGTAAAATATATATGTACTACTTTTCTTTTTGGTGGCACTTGGTTTGAACTCAGGGCCTCACGCTTGCTAGGCAGGCACTCTACCACTTGAGCCACTCTGCCAGCCTGTAAAATGTTTTTTGAGTCTGTCTTATTGATGTTGATGACTGTTGCCTGTGGATAAATATCTTTCATAGTCTGATAAGAAACATGACATTTCTGATATATTTGTGCCCTAGATGCTAAGGGGCATCTAATTAAGGAAGACAGTTACACAGTATCATTCTTAAAAGTGTAGGAATTTGAGGTTTTGACAGATGTGTTTTTTTTAAGGTACTAGTTAAACAATTGGATAATATCTTGGCTGCTGTACATGATGTGCTTAATGAAAGGTAAGTAACTAATAGCCAACCTTTAATAACTGTACAAGTAGTTTTAGAATTATAAAATAATTTCTCATTAGCCTTGTTTATGAACATCATTTTTTACTGAGTCATGTCATTTTTATCTGTTATTTATACATTAATTACTATTGAATACAAATAGAATCTACTTGAAAGGGAATTTTTTTTTTTTTTGCTAGAGACTGAATAAATAAGCATTGACTGGTAGAATGACCTAGACTCTTGATGCTGGCAGCAGTGAATGTGATTAGTTCTTCTAGAAACTAGGAGATGTTGAAAACGCTCAGTGAGTGGGGATAGCAGGGAACTTCCTTCCTTGAGCAAGAGTGGTGCTAAACCTTTGCTGGAGTCTCCAGGGTATGCAGTGATGCACAAAGGGAGGCAGTGTTGGAAAGCACCCCAAACTCAGCAGGCCACAGGCCTTACTGTTGTCTGGTGCTTGTATTTTACATGGTTACTTGTTAATATTATGCTTATGTTCTTACTGCTATCCCTTTAAGTTTGTTTATATACATAACTACTTTACACTACTGATACATTGAATATTATTTAGAATGTACGTGTAGTGTGTTTTATCTAATCATTTCTTGCTGCCTTTTTCTGTGAATCATTTAGTTTGAAATGGAATTTGAAGCCTGAATTTTATTTCCAAGACTTTACTTACCATTTGCTAATAACTGATTTTGTAACAGCAAATCTAATTAATGTCTGACAAAGATACTTTTGAACACTGCAAAATAGAAGATAGTATTTAGAGTGGGTAAAATTTTAATCTTTTATGTAATTTGAACTTTACAAAAATCATTTGAAAACCTGAAAAACATCTGAGACATTTTCTTTTGTGAGATGTGTCATTCTTGCCATCTTTGAAAGCTTATGCCTTTTGTATGTGTTTTGTTCCATTTGCATTAAAATACACAGTAGCAAATTGCTTCAGGAGTTGAGGCAAGAGGGAGCTTGCTGTCTTGGCCTTCTTTGTGCTTCTCTGAGCTATGAGGCTGAGAAGATCTTCAAGTGGATTTTTAGCAAATTTGGCTCATCTGCAAAAGATGAAGTTAAACTTCTCTACTTGTGTGCCACCTACAAAGCGCTGGAGACTGTGGGAGAGAAGAAAGCATTTTCATCCATAATGCAGGTGAGTGGTTAGTATTTTTAATTTCGGAGTTGAAAATAGGACCTCCACCAGGAGTTCTGTTGCCACAGGAAGGCTTCACATTCTTTGAGGAAGACAGATACCACAACTCAATTCTAAGCCTTTGCTTGATGGCGTGTCAAAAATTTTTCATCCAAGTGATGTAAAGTAATTATTTATAAATGAACACCAGCTTTACTTAGTTTTATTTCACTTTTGTTTGTCTGACCGTAATAAAAAAGCTCAATCCCAATTTTTGAGTAAGATCTTAAATAATAAAGTTTTTATTGCGACAGTGTTTTTAAAAATTAGGTATTTGTGTTTGGTGTATCTGATGCTTTTTTGGTTTAGTTTTTACAATTCATGTTATGTTTTCATTTTGGATATTTTAAAAACATGTTAAGAACTAATTACGCATTTCTGAAAAATGCATTTCCCCCCTGATTATAGAGGTTCTTAGAAAAACATTTGGAAAGTTTCAGTATAAACAGTATAATATCAGATTGGGCTTATTTTGCATACTTTTTTTTCCCCTTCAGTACTAGGGTTTGAACGTGAGGCCTTGTACTTGAGCCATGCCCATTTTGGTACTGCTTTTTGCCTGGGCCAGCCTGAGAACTGGGATCCTTCCACCTAACTAGGATTGCATGTGTGTTACCACCATGCTTGGCTCGTTGGTTAAAATGGGGTCAGACTGACTTTTACCTGGACTAGCCTTAAGCTATGGCCCTAATGATCTTTACCTGCAGAGTATCTGGGAGTACAGGCGTGAGCTACTGTGGCTGGCCTAGATACAGTTTCCATATCATGAGCATTTCCTAACTATTTTGAAAACACTCAGGCATAGGAAAACATGCAGCCCAGTATAATAAATACTCATATATTTTTCACCTAGATTTATTTTGGGGAAGGGTGCTGAAGATTGAGCCTAAGACCTTGGGTACACTTCACCCCTGGGCCCCTACTCATTAGCATTTTGCTAAGGTTATTTTATTTCCACATACAGGCTTTCTTTTAACCATTTGAAGATAAATCACACACATCATGATAATTTACCCCATTAGAATTGTCTCCTAAGAGTAAGCCTGTTCTCCTATATAACAACAGTATTCCCATCACACATGAGAAAATCAAGTTTATTAGAAACACAGTCCATACTCAAATTTCTGCATTTGCCCTTAAGATGCTTTTTTTAGTGATATCTCCCCCAAAGCAGGATCCCCTCAAGGCTGAAGCATTGTCTTAGGGACTGTGCCTTTCTAATCTCTCTTCGTTTAGAACAGTTCTCCACATCTTTTTGTGAAGAACTTTTGTAGTCTGCTTTGCTTTCTGGCTTTGCTTTATCATACCTCCCTAATCAGAATCAGCTTAAACATTTTGAGAATGAGTAACTCATGGATTCATTCTTACGGTTGCATCACAGGCCAGCATATAGATAGGCTGTTCCTTTGTCAGCCAGAGTTTGATCACCTGGTGAGTATGACCACCAGATCTTCCATTAGGAAGGCTTATTTTTCTCTCTCAGAGTAAGTAGTCTGGATGTGGTGCCCTGAGATCGTTGGTATATCTTGCGTTTTAGACTATTTCACTTAACAGTATTCTGTGTGCCTATTTTAAAATGGTGCTTTTCTTATTCTAGCGGTTCTTAAATATTTGACATTCTTTTGTAAAGAAGAGCTTTCTTCTTTGGAGGAAAATTGTTTTTAACAGCTGCAAAAATACTCAGTGTTATGCTCTATATTTATTTTAATAATACATATTATATATGTTAACAGGAGCCTGCATGTCTTTTATGTGTGGTGCCATGCTTTTCCTCTCTAAGTTATTTTGATTTGAAGCAAATTGTCTAAACTTTGCTCTAAAGCATTAATTACATAACATTTGCTGTACATTTTAAGTTGGAAAGTAATTGGTGCTTTGAAGGAAAGAATTTCCCAAGTACATCTTTTTGTATTTGAAATTTAGTTGAAAGGTATTAAAGTGAGCGCTGTGCATAACAAACAAAGATCTTACTTAGGACTGAAGTTAGTCAACATTAAAGGAACAATGTTAGTAGATGTTAAAGCAGAGAGCAGTATTTGTTTTAGTGGAGGGAATGAAATGTTTTCAGTTTTGTTTTTCTTTTTAACTCAATAGAATTTATATTCTTTGGTATCATAATTAACTTTTAGATAGAGTTACTAATAAACAGCCTAATTTTCTTGTTTTCTCCCTATTTTGTTAAATGTTAATGGTTTGTAACTTTTATTTTTAAGCTTGTAATGACCAGTCTACAGTCCATCCTTGAAAATGTGGATACACCAGAACTACTTTGCAAGTGCGTTAAGTGCATTCTTTTGGTGGCTCGATGTTACCCTCATATTTTCAGCACCAACTTTAGGGTGAGTTCCCCGCTTCTGTTCTCCAGTGATGGTGTAGGAGGCTGGTTTGTTCGTGAGGAACTGGGGAGACAGAGAAAATAGTATTTCTGCTCCTTTAAATATAGTTAGTGATGTTTGAGGGTCCAGGTCTGAATCATTCACTAATACTGTTTTTATCAAAAATACCAAGTGTTTTTCTTTCTGACATGTATACCTTAAGATTTTTGATAAAAAATATATAAAGCATTCCATCAAGGTCATGAGCAAAGTTTCTTTGTTCTCCTGTCCCTCATCTCCCCATTACTAAGTTTCTGTAATTTCTGTCAAGTAGCTGTAACAGAAACGCTCTCCCAGAATCTGTTACTGAAATGGTTCACAAGTGGAATGGCAGTTAAGACTTAAAATGAATGGTCTCCTTTTTTTTTTGTCTCCATCTAGGATACAGTTGATATATTAGTTGGATGGCACATAGATCATACTCAGAAACCTTCACTCACACAGCAGGTGTCTGGTAAGGTTTTTAGCATGTAACATTCATTTAAATACACTGGGAAGAAGTGCTGGTTCCCCCAAAGACCAGCTGTTAATATTATTTCTTCAGTAATCCAAGAAAACTAATTGGTTCAGGGGAAAATGGTGGCTATATAAATGAGTATCACTGTTAGCTAAATTGGTCTGTTCAATGCAGATCATGTTGTTAACACTAGGTAGGGAGGCAGATTGTAATGCTTCACCTGTGAGGACATTTGAAGTCATTTTTGTAGCATGGACTGGTAGGAGAGGGAAAGGTGGTCACTGCTCTGACATTCAAAAATGTAAGGTCCTAATGCATTTGTGATTTTTCTGTTTGATAATGTTTGGTTTTGTTCTCTGAGTTAAGCGAATAATAGCACAGCTCATCTTCACGTACCCGCTTGCTCCAGGTGCTACAGCTTCTCTTAGTTTACTTAGTGCCATAAACCAAACATAGGGTGTGTCAGTGCATACCTTTGATAGCTACATGGAGCCCTGGGTTAGAGAGCCTGGCTGATGGTAGGTGTGGCAGTTTAGTCCAGGTCACGTGAACAATAAATCTGCTTTAAAAAAAAAAATAAGGACACGAGATTTGCAGTTCATTTTCTGAAGAATATTCATTTCTACAGCATTAAAAAGATGCTTTTAATCATGTTATTACTTATTAGCTGTCCCAGTGTTATATAAGGGATATTTTAAGGGTAGACAACTTGAAAGCCAGATACCTTTCAAAGTTCTTAAACCAGCCCAAGCAAAAAGTTAGTGAGACCCCATTGCAGCCAATAAGCTGGCTATATTGATGTGTGCCTACAATGTCAGCTACATGTGTGGGAGGCTGTAGGTAGGAGGATCATGGTTGGAGGATAGCTGAAAGATAAATAAAGCAAAAAAGATTTGGATGTGGCTCAAGTGGTAATTGGGCCTGCCTAGCTAGAGAATTCAAACATTGGTATCACTAAAAATAGATAAATAAATGAAATAAAGTTGTTAGAATGAAACCTGTAATTTTGTATAATAAAAGTGTATTGAATATTTTTTAACTTTTGGTTTTTGTTCTTTTCCTACTCTTTAAAAATTTTTGTGATTCCAAGGGTGGCTGCAGAGTCTGGAACCATTTTGGGTAGCTGATCTTGCGTTTTCTACTACTCTGCTCGGTCAGTTTCTAGAAGACATGGAGGCATATGCTGAGGTAAGCTTGTAGCATCTCAGTCTTTGAAGTTCCAGTTCAGAAAAATACAAGAATCTTAAAACAGTGCTAGACATACATTAAAGTAGTTCAGACCACCTGACATTTAAAACCAGAAATTATATGGTCATTGCAATATTTTTTTCACATGTTTTACATTACCCAAAAGGGTATAAGAAAAATTAGTGGTGAAATATTTTGCAGAGCTGGAAATAATATACTCTTGGTAGCTTATACTTTGCTGAAGACATTTTCTGTAGTTCACTCTTATTTTTTCTTACTAAAATGATCTCAAAAAATGAGGCAAATTGAGCCAGGCACTGAAGTCCTGTGTCTCTGCTACTCAGGAGGCAGAGGTCAGGCGGGTTGAGATTCAAGGCCAACTCAGGCAAATAGTTCATGAGATTCTATCTCAAAAATACCCAATACTAAAAAGGCCTGGCAGAGTGGCTCAAGTGGTAGAGTACCTGCCTAGCAAGTGTGAGGCTGAGTTCAAACCCCAGTGTCGCCAAAAGGAAAAGAAAAAGAGCTTCTGAAGAATATGCTCTCATATGCTCAGGGCATCTTAAATCATGCATTGGAAGACAAGCCTGGCCTCATCCAGCTTGGACAGCTGTTCGCATGCTGCATTGCAGCTTTGATGGTGCTGCTGAGCCCTGTGGACTTTCCTAGGGTTAAGCCTGTGCCATCTCCTGTCAGAATCCTTGCTTGTTCATGTGTGCTAGGATTCTTTTCAGTGTTCAACGCTCCCCTCACAGTTTAGCCTCATCTTTTCTTTACTGGTTTTTACTTCTGGCCAACATGGTTTCAGTGCTTTTAACTGTGCTTATGTGTTTGTTTTCTTTCAGGAAAAAGCACTGGAATATTTTGCTTTCACATTTTTTTCTTTGTCCTCACACATGGGATGTCTTTTCCTCACCCACCATTATCCTGACTGTCTTTCAGAGGCCACCCATTCTAGTTCATAGAGACACTTCTCTTGCTTCCATAGTACCTAGTTGTCTTGTGTTATCTTGATGCCTAATATCTCATGTTTTCCTGATCTTTTCCTTCAAGTATAAGTCTGAAGAGTAGGTCTTAAAGTTTTTTTTTTTTTTTTTTTTTAACACCCTCTGCTTTTTGTGTGCCTAATATTGGTGCAGACTACTTACTTTTTAATTTAGTTACTGGAAGAATGCCTAGATGAGATTTTCACAAAAACCAACTTAGTAATGGCAAAAATTTATGGCTCCATATACACCTATATATAGCTAAAGTGTTTGTAGTAGATTTATTTTGCCCCAACACCCATCTCTGTTGGTGCAGGGGGTTATTTCCTTTATCTATTGGGTTTCAAGTGGGCTGATTAAAAAGAAAAAAATCCATTTATGTATTTGTAGTCATATGCTTCCTCTTCTCTTTGGCCAAAATTCCTCTTAATTTGCAGAAATGTATTCTCAAGTTCATTGACTTAATAATCTGGGTATCATAGTGCAGCCTGTAGTCTCAGAGTGCTGAGGCAGGAGACTCAATTAGGCCCAGTAGTTCAACACCAGCCTGAGCATCATAGTGAGACTTTATCTCAAGAGTGGGGGAGGGGTTCAAGATTAAAGCCTGGGTTCTATCCCCAGCACTACAGAAGCAAAACAATGTACTATTTAAATAATGCTGTGCATTCACATCTAGGACCTCAGCCATGTGGCCTCTGGGGAGTCAGTGGATGAAGATGTTCCTCCTCCATCAGTGTCATTACCAAAGCTGGCAGCGCTTCTCCGGGTATTCAGTACTGTGGTGAGGAGCATAGGGGAACGCTTCAGCCCAGTTCGGGGTCCTCCAATTACTGAGGCGTATGTGACAGATGTAAGTGTCATTAGGAGTTTCGAGTGTTGCTCCAAAACGATTTTGTTTTGTATTGTGCATTCTTACATCTAGTGTACCTATGTTATTAATCCTTTATTTGTTAATCTGCATACATGTCTGGTTACTTTCCTAGCCAGAAAAATAAGGAAGCCTGTGTGCTTCCTTCCTCCCAGCACCATGAAAAAAGGGCCACTCTGAATTTTTAAATGTTTGTGAAATTTTGTCTTAGATCCTTCACAGATCCATTTATTCTTTTTTAAATACAAGTTTTAGCATCTTTTTTTTTCCTTTTTGGTGGAACTGGGGTTTGAACATCAGGGTTTTCTGCTTGAAAGCAGGCACTGCACCACTTGAGCCATACCTCCAGTTCATTTTGCTTTGGTTATTTTGGAGATGGAGTCCCCTGAAATGTTTAGCTTGACTGGCATCAAACCTTGATCCTCCCAGTCTTAGCCTCTTAAGAAGCCGGGATTACAGATGTGAGCTGCCAGCACCTGGCAGTCATTTTAAAATCTTACGGTTTTGTTTTTCAATATTAATTGTAGTTTTTATTTTAAGTTACTAAGCCTCCTTTTAGTTTTTCAACATATTTCTCTGTAGAGAAAGCCTAAGAAAGTAATTTTCTTGTTGCGGGTATAGCTCATGGCAGAGCACTTGGCTAGCATTCCATCCCTAGCACTACAACAAAAATAGTCATTTTCTTTGAGCATGACAGAATGAAACTCATCATTCTGTATATCTTTGTATGTTGAGCTATCAAAGAATATAGAAATACCCCAATTTAAAATACATACTAGTCTGAGACCAGTTGTAGGTGGTAACCAGGTTACCATAGTTTTTGTGACCCCAGGCTGTAGTAGTGCTATCTGGTCTAGGGAGTGGTTCCATTTAACAGGAGAAATGAGTTCCAGGCCTTGTGCTGTGTTTGGATCAGAATACAGACACATGACGATATAGTCAAGAAGACGTAAATTATTAAAAGTTACTGTTCAGACACAGTGCTAGCTTTTAGGAGCATTTACTTTTGAGGAACACATTGTTGACACAGTGCCAGACAAAAGAGAATATTCATTATATATAAAGTTCTTGGCAAGTTAATTGTGTATCAGAGCAGAAATATCAGATCCTAGTGATAATTAAACTGCATGTTGATGATTTAAATCTGATCCAGGTGATTTAATATCTTTGTTTCCTTTTTGCTGCTTTAAAAAGATGGTTATTTGAAGACTGTTGGAGTTGAAATAAAGGCATTTAACTCATAAGTTAAACAAAAGGAGAGACATTGACTGTTTCGGTTTAGTGGCATGTGTATGTGTTAGAAATTACCTAGTATTTGTAATCATTGATGGGTATTATGTAGCAAGCTTGGGGATGTTTCTCACGGGTAGGGGTGAGCGCTTGTCCAGCATTATGGTCATTGTTCAATTTAATACCAGCCTAAGGTGACTTGAGTGCTTAGTTTTAAGAGTATCAAAAGCCCAGGAGCCAAAGTTAAGTAAGTGTGACCAGGTTGCTCCCATGCTGCTAACATCGTTAGTGTTTTAGGTTCTGGTGCATTTCATGATTGGAGAAATTCTGAGCTTCGATTATCCAGTGACTTTGGGGAGAGAGGAAGTGGGCATATGGGAATAGAAGTTGGTAAAATTCCATTTCTTATCACAATAGTACTTGGAAAATTTTTAACCAAGATGATTTTTACATATTGTATTAAAAATGCCCTTATTATTCAGCTATTGTGAACTAAAATATTAAGAGACTGCTGACAGCTAGCTCTGTGTGCTGGTACATGCCTATAATCCCGACACAGAGGCAGGATTGTGAGTTCCAGGCAGCTTGGGCAACATAGCAAGAATCCATCTCCAAAAACAAAAACAACAAAACAACACAACAAGATTACTGGCCCGCCATGCAGTTAATTTTCAGTTGAAGCTGCATTAAATAGAAAATGTTTTCTTGTCACATGGAGTTAATGTTGAATTTTTTTTAAAAAGCTGCTTGTTTTCCCCATTTGCAGGTTCTGTACAGAGTAATGAGATGTGTGACGGCTGCAAACCAAGTGTTTTTTTCTGAGGCTGTGCTGACAGCTGCTAATGAGTGTGTTGGTGTTTTGCTCGGCAGCTTGGACCCTAGCATGACTATACATTGTGACATGGTTATTACGTATGGATTAGACCAGCTGGAGAATTGCCAGGCTTGTGCTACCGATTACGTCATCTCAGTCTTGAATTTACTCACATTGGTATGTCAGTCACTCTTTGTTGCTGTTGCTTTTTAATTTGTTGGTTTATTTAGACCTTTAGATAAGAAAATTAAGAACTTTGCTTTGTGGTTGTTAAATTAAGGGCTTTACCTTTTTGTTTCTTTTGAGTGCATTGATAAATTTTGTTTTTATAATCTGCTTTTGCCCTAGTAGCTACTTACTTCTCACGGCTGGTAGCTCGTCTCGTGAACTTTTACTCATTTTTCTGAGCGGACTATCACCCTTCACCTCAGACTCTGGTACCCCTGGTAATACTGTATGAGAGAGAATACTTGATAGTTATTTTGAAAGACTCTTTATATTTTATTTCCCAAATAAAACTTCTTATATAGTTTTTATTCCTTTAATTTCTTAACTGTAAACAACTCCCCTCTTATTATGGACATTGTAAAGCACATTTGAAGTAGACTAGTACAGCGGATCTCTGCATGCATCACACTGGCTTCTGTAATTAGAAGCGCATGGTCCATCTGGTTTCATCTAGGCTGCCAACTCTCTTGACTCCTCCTCCATGTTCCTTCATCTCCAAACTGTGTTACTTTAAAGAGAATTCATGTTCTGCTGAACATTTCTGCCGAAGTTACACCTTTTTTTGCCAATGTTTAAAAAAGCCAATGTTTAAGGGTAAAATGTGTATATCTTATTTAGATCTCACTTTAATACCACAGCATACTGGGTTTAAAATACAGCTTAGATATGTTACTCTTTTCTAAATTAATAGACTGCATTTTTTTTTAGAACAGTTTTTATGTCCACAGAAAAGTTGAGCAGAAAGTGCAGACTTCTTATGCCCCGCTACAACAGTTTCAAGTGTTCTTAATAAAAACTTGTGTTAGTATGTTACACTTGCAAAAATTGCTGAGCACATATTGCTACATTATTACCAGCTACTGATCATAGTTGAGTTTAGGGTTCACTCTGTTGTACATTTTATGGGGTTTGACAAATGTGTAATGGCAAGTATTTATTTGCTATTACAATATCATGCAGGATAGTTTCACTACTCGGGTTCCACCTCTGCATCCTTCCTTCCTTCCAAGCTTCAGACCCCTGGCAACCTCTGATGTTTTTATTATCTCCATACTGTGTCTTTTCTCAGAAAAGGTACAGTCTTGGAATTAGAGTATGTAGCCTTTCTAGATTGGCTTGTTTGACTTAGCATATGTACTTAAAGTTCTATGCCTTCTTCTAAAAAAATGTTATGTTTTTAGATTGTTGAACAGATAAATACCAAACTGCCATCATCATTTGTCGAAAAGTTGTTTGTACCATCATCTAAGCTACTATTCTTGCGTTATCATAAAGAAAAAGAGGTATGTGATGCGTTGATACTGGCTTCTGGTAACTTCTGTCATTAAAGAGCTGGACTTAGCTACATTCGTGAAGCTCAGTTAGGTGGGATTTGATTGAGAGTGCAGTGGCCGTAACGACTTGCCTTAGCATGTAGGTTATTATACTCAGTTGAATGTGCCGGGTAACTTTGCAGAATATACAGCAAATGTTCATAAAGATAAAAGGCAGATACATTTAAAGAATCACAAATTCAGAAGTACTGAGTATAATCAGTAAAAATTACTAGCTTCTCAGCCAACCCCCAAATCCACTGTAGATTTTTCAAACAGATGTAGGAAGACCAGTCTTAAACTGCTGTTTGCATACGTTTTGATATTCGCTGTTTATAAAAAATGGTCATTGAGGAAGTTTCATATTGGCAGCTTTCATTTAGAGTACTTCTTTTGTGATAAAGCTTTAGAACTTTAAAAAAATTCACTAAAATTTTTAGGTTCCCCAAGGTTGGGTTTTAAAAAAATTAAGATTCTTAGGTACTTTGGATTCTGAGTACATTAGTTCTAACTTGATTTGTTTCCTAGCACCATGCAGATAGTGATTTGGTGCACCATGTAATTTTAGATTTATTTTCCAATGACCATCACTTGATGAAGTTTTCTTTTTTTCAGGTTGTTGCTGTAGCCCATGCTGTTTATCAAGCAGTGCTCAGCTTGAAGAATATTCCTGTTTTGGAGACTGCCTATAAGTTAATTTTAGGAGAAATGACTTGTGCCCTAAATAACTTGCTACACAGTCTACAACTTCCTGATGCCTGTTCCGAAATAAAACATGAGGCTTTTAAGAATCATGTATTCAATGTAGACAATGCAAAGTTTGTAGTTATATTTGACCTCAGTGCCCTGACAACAGTTGGAAATGCCAAAAACTCACTAATTGGGGTGCGTCTCTTTATATATATCATTTAATATCATGTCAGTGTCTGTACAGTCAGTCTCATGGCCATATTTAGGATCTGCAGGAATAATACCTCATCATTATATTTAACTTTTTTTCCCTTGATAAGAAAAGGTCTTTTGTGACTTTTTCCTGTGAACTCTAACTCAGAAAATTTTGTCAGGATTTTCCACACCTCAGATCTGTATAGATCTTTAATATGCAGTTCCTTCCTTCCTCTGATACTTTCATCTTCTCTTCACTACAGTTAGTGCTTACACACACAGTCTTATATTTTGATTGCCTACTGTTTTCTCTAGGAACGTTCATATATTTCTAACTTTCCTTTTAAGACACTGTCTCACCATGTAGCCCAGGATCCTCCTGCCTCAGTGCTGGGATTTTAAGCATGAGCCGTCACACCTGGCTCATACATTCAGAGAAGATTAAAGATACCATTTTTAAAGAAGTTTCAAAAATTTGTTAGTTTCACCTTTTTTTTTTTTTCCCCCAGTACTGGGGCTTGAACTCAGGGCGTACACCTTGAGACAGTTCTCCAACAGCCCTTTTTTTGTAAAAGAATTTTTTTGAGATAGGTTCTCAGCAGACTATTTGCCTGAGTAGCTGTGATTACAGGCATGAACCACTGGCACCTGGCTTAGTTTCACCTTATATTTGAAGACTGCAGTAAATGCTTACCTTCTTTACATACTAATGGTTTTCAGGGAACTCACATGGTACACAGTTTGGAGGAGATTTATGTCCTGTACTCTGGAAACAGGAAAAGGGTGGGAAGGGACAGTCAGGCAGAATAGCATGTCATAGCAATAAAGGAAAAGGGAAAGACCAGGTATGTTGGTGCACATAATCCCATCTACTCAGTAGGCACAAGTAGACTCATGTTCGAAGGCTGACCTGGACAAAAGTGTGAGACCATATTTGAAAAATAAGCTAAGAGACAAAGGACTGGGGACATGACTCAAGTGGTACAGTGCTTACCTAGCAAGTGTGTGCCCCTGAGTTCAATACAATTCCCAGCATTGCCCCCAAAAGAAGAGAAATCTGGAAAAGCATGAGTGATTCAATGTGCCTTTTATCTTTATTGGGCAGGCACCTTGCCATTTTCAGTATATCAGAAATTGAAGCTGGATGCTGGTGGCTCATGTCTGTAATCCCTCTACTTGGGAGGCAGACAGAAATCAGTAGGATTGCTGTTTGAAGCCAACCTGGACAAATAGTTTGAGAGATACTATCTCGAGAATACCAAACACAAAAAGGCTGGTACAATGCTGAAGTGGTAAGAGTGCCTGCCTAGCAAGTGTGAGGTTCTGAGTTCAAACCCCAGTGCTGCTTCCCCCCCCCCAAAAAAAAAATTTAGAAAGTAATGGTGGTTATACCAAAGGGTACAAAGAACTTTGCTTAGACTACAAATCAGCCATCTGTCTCCTGGGGCAAATGCAGTCCAGTGCCTGGTTTTGCATCTAAAGTGTGCAAGTTCAGTGATTTTTTTTTTTTTAAAACATTCAGAATTGTTTTGACCATTATCAGTCTGTACTGTTTCTGTAATGAGAGTTGCACCCAGCCACACTCATTCTTGTCCTGCCTGTGGCCGTTTTTCCGCCATAGCACCAGAGCTAAAGGGTTTGGTACGTTACAACAGAGACTGTGTGCCTGCCTGTAGCGCCCAAGAATTACTGTCTTACCTTCAGAAGTGTTTGTGAAGATCCAGGTTTATGTGCTAGATTATTTCCAAATCAGGCCTGTCATTTTAAAAGATGTTTAAACACACTTATTTTGAAGGATAAACTCTGTTTTGGAGAAGTCATAAATACACTTTCTTTTGTACATTGCCAGATGTGGGCACTGTCTCCAACAGTCTTTGCACTTCTGAGCAAGAATCTGATGATCGTGCATGGTGACCTGGCTGTTCACTTCCCGGCTATTCAGTATGCAGTGCTTTATACCTTATATTCTCATTGTACCAGGTACTGTGCTTACAAATCCTCCATAGCAACAATAAACAGATCATTTTATTTCTCCAGCTTGCTTTGTTTTGACCAAAAGTGAAAAGATGATCCATACTTTGTCTTTTAGGCATGATCACTTTATATCTAGCAGTCTCAGTTCTTCATCCCCTTCCTTGTTTGACGGTGCTGTGATTAGTACTGTAACTACAGCTACAAAGAAACATTTCTCCATTATATTAAATCTTCTAGGAATACTGCTGAAGAAAGATAACCTTAACCAGGACACGAGGTACCTAAGTAATACTTCATATTACTAACTCTTCCTCTTTATAATTTGAGACTAAGAAGTGTGGATCACGGAGGTGGGATAGACTAGCTTCTTCATTGTAAAACACTTTATAATTTAGTTTTGTTACTTAGTATCCTTGTTGCAGCGGTTTTTGTGGAGCTTTACTTAAAAGGCACAGTATCATTTTAGCAAAGAAATTTGAGAAGTTTAGAAAACTGATGTAGAAAGAAAAAAGTTCTAAGTTTTTTTGTTTTTAAATGTTAAGTCAAATGTTTATTCTGTGTTTCAGGAAACTGTTAATGACATGGGCTTTGGAAGTGGCCATTTTAATGAAGAAGTCTGAGACATACGCACCTTTGTTCTCTCTTCCATCTTTTCATAAATTTTCCAAAGGCCTTTTAGCCAATAGTAAGATTGATGTTTTAATTTTGGTCATCGCCCTTTAAAAAGAGTAATGGGAGGAGGTAGTTATTTCAGCATGTTTTCAATCTGAAGTTGTAAAGCCCCATTTTAGTGCCAGATAAGACAATCAAGCCTGAATTTTTCTTCATTTTTAGTATTTGAAATCTAAGTTTTAAGTGATTTTAAGACATTTTAGAGCTTAGGTGAATGTATAAGTCCATATACTTCTGAATTTTCCCTCAGAAAAAAAAGATTTCGTGTGAAGACTAGTTATCTTAAATGAGTTTCATTGAATGTGTTATCTTCCCAGATGTTACTGGCAGGACTCTAGGCAGGAACTCTGCCTAGGCCATAATAGGTACTCCTTGTTTGTTGAGTGAAGGAATGGGTTCAGAATAGTGAGATAAGCTGAAAGTAATTTGTATTTTTTCATAGCTCTTGTGGAAGATGTGAATATCTGTCTGCAAGCGTGCAGCAGTCTCCACGCTCTGTCCTCGTCTCTGCCAGATGATCTGTTACAGAGGTATGGACTAGAGACCATGTCTTTTGACTCTGGCCCTAATGACATGGGATGTTATTATACCAGATTTGTCCATTCCGTTTTTCATAGGTGTGTTGATGTTTGTCGTGTTCAGCTAGTCCATAGTGGAACTCGCATTCGACAAGCCTTTGGAAAGCTGTTGAAGTCAATTCCTTTAGATGTTGTCCTGAGGTATAAAAATTGCTTGGAGGACTTTTTTTGTTTGTTTGTTCCATTTTGTTCGTTGAGATAGTCTCATTATGTAGCCCAGGCTGGCCTTGAACATTTGATCTCTTCTGCCTCCCATATACAGGGATTATAGGAATCACCACTTGGCCCTACTAGGGCACTTTGTTTTTATACCTAATAATATTCCAGACAAACCACCATATTAATACATTTCTGTCATCTCTTGCATGGTGATCGTCCTAGTATTGAAATATCAAAGGATCAAATTTTGTAGGAAGTTAGAAGAGCGTAACAGCTTTTATGAGCTTTAGAAGTTCACAGTAATTAGAATAATTCATGTAGTGCCAAAATGTGTTCTTTATAGTTCATATTTTTAAGCTGTAACCTTTTATTGTTTTTGATTAAGTTGATTTGGGAGCTTTGGAACCTAAAATTATGATGTTATAATAACATCGCCTCATCCATTTTAAAGTCTCAGTTTTATATTTCTAACTTCAAATTTAGTTAATAAGAAAATACTCATTTACAGTGTTGCTAACCTTGTAACATTTGCCTAACAATAACTTTGTTTTCTGTTTACAGCAATAATAATCACACAGAAATTCAAGAAATTTCTTTAGCTTTAAGAAGCCACATGAGCAAAGCACCAAGTAACACATTCCATCCACAGGATTTCTCTGATGTCATCAGTTTCATTTTGTACGGAAACTCCCATAGAACAGGGTAAGTTGCTTCTTGCTTTCCCTCAGAAAAATAATTTTACACATAACTTTCCCTTACACCCAGTTTTGGGGAGAATATAGTTAAGGGGGCAGAGTAGAAAATACCAGTCCTAAGTGGGTCATTTTAGGTTCCATCATAGTACTGTTGCTTTGAGCATAGCACCTGTGGAAACAAAAGTGGGCTGTGGAATTCAGTGCTGAACTTGACAGTTACCTGATCTCACTGTCAGCAACACTTTGGGGAGGGGCTTGAAATAAAGATGCTGTGGGATGCTTAGTTGCAGTGAACAAAGTTTATCCTGGCAGCCAAATTGTCATGAGCCATTTTCCCTAATAATTGTCCACTCCATACCCCGACCTGTTTTAACTATGAAAAGATCTCAAAATAAAGAAATGCTCCTTGATTTTGTGAGTTTGACCTCCTTTTGGTAGGAAAAATTGTCCCTTCCTTCCATTCCCTTTATTTTATTTTGATTATTAAAATGAAGTTGTCATTGTCTGTTAAATATGAAACTACTTTTCCCAGGAAGGACAATTGGTTAGAAAGATTGTTCTATAGCTGCCAGAGACTGGATAAACGTGACCAATCAACAATTCCCCGCAATCTTCTAAAGACAGATGCCGTTCTTTGGCAGTGGGCTATATGGGAAGCAGCACAGTTCACTGTCCTTTCTAAGTTGAGAACACCACTGGGCAGAGCTCAAGATACTTTCCAGACAATTGAAGGTAATCACCTCTTTATCCTTCTTCAAAATTCTTGATGCACATAATGTTCAAAGCCTTTTAAATTCAGAAGTAAAAGTTTTTTTCGAATATTGTATGAGCGATTTTTAGGTAGGCTTGTTATAATAAGGTTTCATTGAAAATCTCCTTGGCCATGACAGCTGTTTTCTTTTTTTTCTTTGGCAATACTTTTGGAGTATAAACTTGGGACCTTGCACTTGCTAGTCAGGTACTCTACCACTTGAGCCATGCTGCCAGCCCTTTTTGACTTTGGTTATTTTTGAGACAGGTACTGGCTTTATGACCAAGCTGGTCTCAATTACTGTCCTCTATTTGTGTCTAATGGCAGGTGGGCATATGCCACTGCGCCTGTCCATTCATTGAGGGGGTACTTAGGAACTTTTTGTATGGTTTGGTTTAAACTGATCCTCCTAATGTCCACTTTCAAGTGCCTAGGATAACAGATTGAGCCACTGTGCCCAGTCTAACTGTTTTTGTTCAGAAGCTTAGGGATGAGTTTTTGTGGAGAAAACACCCTTTTTCCTGTAAAATGAAAGATGTTCTGTGGTGGAATTTTTTTGTTTTTAAATGTTGCATAGAAAAAAAGGATACTTGATAAGTGTGAATGTGTGAAATAACTTAAGATTTATTTATAGAATCTTTAAAGATTTGCTTTTAATTTAGAATGCTGTCTTTGCTTCTAGGTATCATTAGAAGTCTCGCAGCTCACACGTTAAACCCTGATCAAGATGTTAGTCAGTGGACAACAGCAGACAATGATGAGGGCCATGGTAGCAACCAACTTAGACTTGTTCTCCTTCTGCAGTATCTGGAAAATCTGGAGAAATTAATGTACAATGCATATGAGGGCTGTGCTAATGCATTAACATCGCCTCCCAAGGTGGGTTTTACAGGGATATTGGTGCCTTGTAACAGTTTCATCATCAAGCCTGGTGGTATGTGTGGTACTGGAATTATAATAGACTTGTGTAATTGATTTCTTTGTGTTCGAGACATCCATACCTATAATTTGAACCAATCCTGAGCTTCTCTTTCCCCTTTTTCTAAAGGTCATTAGAACTTTTTTCTATACCAATCGCCAAACTTGTCAAGACTGGTTAACTCGCATCCGCCTCTCCATCATGAGGGTCGGCCTATTGGCGGGCCAGCCAGCCGTTACTGTAAGACACGGCTTTGACCTGCTCACAGAGATGAAGGCCAGTGCTCCTCAGGTACAGGATTTTGTTTGCAATTAATTCATTTTTACTTGCCTTATAGATACCAGGCAAGTGTGCTACCTCTCAGTTAATAAACTCAGTCCAAATTGACTCACCTTAAGTCTGTAAATTAAAGAAATGGGTTACACATTTCTTTGGTGTGATTTAGTCAGATAAAATAAGTTAAAACTTCTGTTCATTTTCAAAGCTTTTTGATCCAATATTTTCTAAAACCAGTAACTCCCCAAGTTACCTATTTTAAGTTTTCTACATAGCACAAACACATGTTAAAAATGTTTACTTCTTGAAGTGGACATGTGGCTCAAGTGGTAGAGAGCTTGCCTATCAAGTGCAGGGCCCTGAGTTCAAACCCCAGCACCACCACCAAAGAAAAAAACAACAAAAATACTTCTTATGCTTAAGGGTTGGAACTTCAAGGGCAATTGTAAGAAATTTGTCTGTGAAAGTTACTTCTTTTTGAAGATGAGGTCTTGCTATGTGGTCCAGACTGGCCTCAAACTCAAAATCCTCTTGCCTCTGCCTCCCAATACTTGGAATTACAGGCATGGGCCACCATGTCTGATCTGAAGAAATTATTTTGGGTGGATAAAAGAGTGTGGTGGAGTGGGTGAATCTTATTAAGATGTCTTGTAAGCACTTTTATAAATGTCATAATGTATCCCTCCCCATGGGTAAATAGCATGCTAATAAAGAGAAGGTACTTTGATAATACCTGGTAAAGTACTCGAACATTGGCTTTTAAATGTTCTCACAATAAACAAGTGGAACTATTAAAAATAAAAATGTTAGGGCTGGTGGAATGGCTCAAGTGGTAGAGCACCTGCCTCGTAAATGCAAAGGCCTGAGTTCAAATCCCAGTGCTACCAAAGAAAAATTAAAATGTTTACTCATTGAGGTACCATCAATAAGCAATATTCAAAAGCATGAAGGTGATCATTGTTTAATTCATATTTATGTTTAACTTTTGCTTTACGTTTAGTGCAAGTGTTATTCCTACAGAGGTCATAGGTTAAGTATTTGGGTAACTTTCTGAGGGGAGGAGATAAACACCTGTGCTGCTGTTAACATTCTGTTATTCACCTTTTTTTTATTGCGGCCTGGAGCTTGAACTCGGGGCTTCACCTTAAGCCACTCTGCCAGTCCTTTTTGTGAAGGGGTTTTTCTAGATGGGTCTCCTCAACTAGTTGCCTGGGGTGATAATTATTTGCCAGGGCTTGTTAAATGCTTTTGACTTTTCAGTAGGCTTAGGTTGTGATCAGTGGTTGTAAATTTAGTAGGGATTTGAATTTTAATGGTGTTGGAGTCTAACTAAGTTTTCTGAGTGCCGTTTCCAGGGGACTGAATTGGAAGTGACAATCATGATGGTGGTGGAAGCTCTGTGTGAACTTCATTGTCCTGAAGCTATCCAGGGGATTGCTGTCTGGTCATCTTCTGTTGTTGGTAAAAACCTCCTCTGGATTAACCCAGTGGCTCAGCAGGCTGAAGGGAGGTAAGTTAGGAGGACAGACGTAGATGATAGGATTGCTTTATGTGTGAATTCTTTGCATTGCTGGTCACCATTGTATTGAATCTTAAAACTGCTTTGTTGAGCTTCAGCAGTTGAAATTGCTATAAATCTCTTCACTAGGAGGCATGTTCAGTGTATTCTTTAATTAGTAGTGAAACTTTAGTGCCTTCCTTACTAAGGAGTTAATGAGGAATCATATTGGAAAACAAGATCTGTCAGTTGTTTATAAACGCTTTGACCTTGACGCTTAGTTAAGAGCCCTCTCCGTCAGATTCTGGTACAATTTAGTGTATATTGCTGGAGTATTTGCTCTTAGTCCTGGAACTCTACATTCAAACTCCTTTGATTTCTTAGGAGCATGTACCATGACAGTCTGGGTCCATTTGTGTTACTTTAACCAGTCTTAAAAGATTTAGGAAAATAAAGAAATTAACTGCTTATAATCCTTTTTCCTGTTGGTAACTATTAGTTCTGCTGTGTGTGCCTTTCTAGTTCTTTTTTTTGTACATGGTTTTCTCCTCATTTCATAGTAACAGCAGTACGTACTTAGGTGCAAGGTTTTATGACCTGCCTTTTTCACTCAACAGTATTTTGAAAGAATATCCTGTAATCTGATTTTTAATGGGCAGTTTTTATTTATTTGTGCGTATACTATAATTTAACATTCCTTATTGAACATTCAGGTTTTTTTTCAGTATTTTTTTTTTTAACTAATGTTACTGTATAATATTTTTATTACTTCCTTTGAATCCATTCTTGCAGGTTGATTTACTGTAATAAAGGCTGTAGACTAGAAGGCTCATGAAACAAAATATTGCCAAGTTAAAGATGGCCCCAATTTATGCCCTAATGATAGAGAACACCTTCCCTTCACCTTTATGAATACTAAGGGTTACTTTAAGAACTCTGGCACAAGACCCTGCATTCAAAACCCAGTACCGCTAGAAAAGAACTCAGTCACAAACATCAATGAAAATACTTGTTATTTGCATTTCCTTATTAATGTGGAATAGTAGAGCCTTTCCCATTGACCATTTGTGACTTTTATTTTTCAAATCATGGATCATGGCCCCTTATTTTTTTCTTTATTAGTCTATGATACTAGCATTATTGATGCTATTAGATTTCTTGATTTATCATCTTTTAACATGTTTATGTTCTGTCTTAGAAACCTAGAAGTGTCATTATGCAGTTAGATCTGTTACTTTATGGATTCTTTTCTTGAGATAGGGGTCTCAGTATGTAGCTCAGGCTAGTCTTACACTTGACCCTACCTCAGCCTTCTGAGTGCTGGATTCACAGGCAGGGACTACCATATTTTGCTTACAGATTCTTTTCTTGTATTTATCCTTCCATACAGGTTTTCTATATACAGACATCAGTTACTTGTCTTGTCTCCACTAGTTACTTTATACTCTAATATTCGTTAACATCAACTATTTTTTTGTTTGTTTGGGGGCGGTACTGGTAACTGAACTCGGGGTTTTAAATTTGCCAGATAAGTGCTCTACCACTAGAGCTATAGTCCTTTCTGTGTTTTGGTTTGTTTTTCAGATAGGGTCTTATACTTTTGGACTGTGACCCTCCTATCTCTGCCTCCTGAGTAGCTGGGACTCTAGACTTGCGCCATGGTGCTCAGCTATATGTTAACTGTCTTTAATTTATTTTCATTTGTTGTGAGGAAGAGATCTAATTCCTGCTGCTGTGTTCCCCCCCCCGCCCCAAAAAAAACTTGATGTCTAAACTCAATTCATTGAGTGATCCATTGAGTGATCCATTCTTTCACCGTTAGTTTTTTGGAAATAAGATTGCTTCAATTTACATTTAAGGTTTGAAAAGGCCTCTGTGGAGTACCAGGAGCACCTGTGTGCCATGACAGGTGTAGATTGCTGCATTTCCAGCTTTGACAAGTCTGTTCTCACTTTGGCCAATGCGGGACGCAACAGTGCCAGCCCCAAACATTCTCTGAACGGTGAGCATTCAGTGTTTACTCAAAACAATACAAAAATTGGAGTCAAATGTTTTGTGTTATTGACTTCACTGTATGTTTTCAGGTTTCTGAGCTCTTTGAAGTTTTTACAGTTGCTCTGGTTCTTTCTTCTCATTTTATAAAATGTTTTCATTCAGGTGAATCCAGAAAAACTTTGCTGTCCAAACCGATGGACTCTTCCCCCGAGGTCATAAACTACTTAGGAAATAAAGCATGTGAGTGCTATGTTTCCATTGCTGACTGGGCTGCTGTCCAGGAGTGGCAGAACGCTGTGCATGAGCTGAAGAAGGGCACCAGCAGCACATCCCTCAACCTGAAAGCTGACTTCAACTACATAAAGTAAGGCTATATGCACCCAGTAAGATGGGCACTCAGTGACTAGAAGGGTATCTCTAATAATACTATCATAACACCTACAACAGGAAGCCAACACTAGAAGTGAGATGGTGCTCATGCAGTGGGAAAACAGACTCATTATTTGTAAGGAAAAGAATATTGCTGCTTTAGAAAGGACCACACATGACAGCTGTGGTTCTAAATTAGGTATGAATATATAAAAACATTTGTTTTAACAAGGACAGTTTGTGAACATTTATAAATTGTCTCTTTTCTCATTTCACTAAGCATTTATTATGTAAATTAATCAAAATTAGTACTCAGCGTATTCTAGACATGGGGCCAGGAAGACGCAGGTCATTAGACTTGGTGTGCTAACCTTGCTTTCAACTGCTGAATTATTGGGTAGCTTATTCATTGAGCATGTACTGTGTGCCTGGCAATGGGACACAGCAGTACAGAAATGAGACATGAATTTTTACCTTTTAACAAAAAGAACATTGATAAAAGGATTAAGTACAACTGACCTTTTTTAAACATGAAGGAAAGCAGTTAAAGTTGGGCGCAGAGGTGAGGGTAGAGGAATGCAAAAAGTATGTGTTGATATTCTGGGGAGTTGTCATCAATTGACAGTGCAGAACTGGGGCGCTCAGTGCATATGAGGTACCTGCTGCTCACAAGGGCCAAACAGTTCATTGGTGCCTAGTACCCAGGCTCACTGAAGAAGCCTTGGCTCCTCTGATCTAGGTAGATAATAGGCACAGAGTGAGTTAAGTGATGAGCATTTCCAGAGCTGGCTTAAGGCTAAGTGCAAGAGAAGAGACACAGAGGGCAGGCAAAGGTGGAAAACAGATGGAGAAATCTTCGTTCTGCTTTGGGAGCAGCTGTGGTAGAAATGGGGATGGAGTGAGGGATTTGAAAAGCAGCCCAGGGAGCTAGGAGGATGAGGTCTCTTGTCCCAACGTTGGTGCTAGAGGACTGTAAAAAGAGTTTCAGAGGTGTCATTAGTTTTCAGATAAATCAAGACAATTGAAAGGGATTCTTTCAGAGAAGGTAAATGTCTTCCATGAAAAGAGTGGTGTTGCCACAGATGGTTGGAGTCTTATAGGGGTGAAGAAATAGTGCAGAGAAGGAAGTGCTGGGGTCATCTGTGGAGCTGGACAGCCCCCAGCCAACAGGTTGCAGCACAGAGAAAGGGGAAGGAGACACTCAGGGCTGAGTGACACTCCTATTGGACAATCCAGTTTTAGTGCTAATGAAGAATGCTGCACCTCTTCAAAATAAAAATGGCGTCATACTCCATTTCTGAACGTTTCTTCGGAAGAAAGCTGTGTACTGCGCTTCTTTGCAGAACTCATTTCTGTTTTGAATAGTTCCACAGGCTGAATAAGGCAGAACATGAGCTGAACAATGCTATAATTACAGGTCACTAAGCAGTTTTGAGTCTGGAGAATTTGTCGAATGCACTGAGCAACTGGAACTGTTACCAGGAGAAAATATTAATCTACTTGCTGCAGGATCAAAAGAAAAAATAGGTACTTGAGAAAGTAATTGTAGTTTTTTTTTTCCCTCCATGGGTATGTGGGTGGGATTTGTTTGAGACAGAGACTTGCTATGTTGCCAGGCTGACCTTGAACTTGCTATAAGTAGCCCATGCTGGTCTCCAACGATTGACTAAGTGGAAAAGGCTACATTAGTAATTTGACATTTATTTAGACATTTTCTTTGAAAAAGTACAAAGTTGTGTTTAAGCTAAAGATTTAGGGCATTTGTGGCTTATTAAGATTTTTGACACGTTTTGTAAAATATTATACTAAGTATTAGGAGTATTCTGTGTGTTACCGTTGATTTGGTCGATCATTCACATTTGCTGGTGTTAATCAAGCCTTACCCCTTTAAGAAGAATTTTTTTTTTTGGCAGTACTAGGCTTTGAACTCTGGGCCTTGTGCTTGCTAGGCAGGCGCTGTACCACTTGAGCCACACCTCTAACCCTTGGATTTGTCTCTTTAAATAGTTTGACTTACTGATTTTTGAATCTTTAAAATCTAGTGATTTTTAGGGACATGAGATATAATTTTATATGAAGTTTTGATGTTTGTGTAGCTATCAGAAATGTTTAATTATAGTGCCTAGCCACTCAAAGATAAAAGCAGGTATTCATGAATGATCATTTTAGCACTGTGAAGATAACAGTCTCAGTTTTGTACATTAAAAGCATATTAATGTAATGAAATTTATCTAATTTCTATAGACATGAAAAAACTACTTCCTAACATGTTAAGTCCAGATCCCAGGGAACTTCAGAAATCCATCGAAGTTCAGTTGTTGAGAAGTTCTGTTTGTTTGGCAACTGCTTTAAACCATGCAGAACAGGATCAGAAGTGGCAGTCTATAACTGAGTAAGTTCATTGTCAAGGAGGTAAGGTGCATTGTGCATACGCAGTGTATGTGTTAGGATGGGAGGCAGCTGCTGGATCTACTAAGAACTCACCCCAATAGCTTTGGTTTTGTTGTACAAGTGAAAAGATGTCAGCACATACTGTGGTTAAAACTAAACAAAGTGTGAAAATCCTTCCAAGCAAATGTCCTGACTACATCTTTTTACTACAGGGTAGGCATCTTAAAAGAAACTATTCCTTCAGTGGTTACAGGATGAAGAAGCTCAATAATTAATTGGTAACAACTATTTTCTTTCAGAAACGTTGTAAAATACTTGAAGCAGACTTCCCGCATAGCAATTGGGCCACTGAGACTGTCCACGTTAACGGTTTCCCAGTCCTTGCCAGTTTTGAGTACCTTACAGCTGTATTGCTCATCTGCTTTGGAGAACACAGTTTCTAACAGGCTTTCAACAGAGGTGTGTAGAAGCAGATTTTAAAAGCATATTCTTATGTGTATTAGTAGGTATTGCCATAGAGAAAGAACCTTATTTTTTGAGCTTTTAAAATAGCATTTATAATTGAACAAGCTAATAAACCCAGAAATCAAAAGTCATTTTCCTACAGATTTTCATTTGAGGAGTATTTCACGGATGGCTAATTTGTTGATTTTTCTCCTTTTCCTTTCTTGGAGGTGGGGGAGTAGTGTATATAAAGGTATTTCCTTTAGACGGATTGTGTAAATTTTGGATTTGACTCAGAGGTACCCCTTCTCTTCCCAAATAGGGCAAAGTGCAGCCAAAATGGGGCTTTCCTTCCCATGGGAGTGACCATCACTGATAATCTGGGATGGCGCAGTGACCTTAACGTTCTTCTGTTATAAAAACTCTTGCTTTATTGCTAAGTATATGGATAAATTTGATTTAATCTGGTTTTATTTTGCAAAACAGGTTTTCTCTTGAGTGCACTTGCCTCTTGTGATTGGAAGATTCTTGATGGAAGGGGATAATAGAGCTGGAATAGATCGGAAGTTGTCAGTACTGTAGACTTGAACTTACTAGCAGTGTGTCTGCAAATGTATAAGGAGCCTGTGTCACATTAACCTTTGCTTTCTCTGGCAGGACTGCCTCATTCCACTGTTCAGTGAGGCTTTGCGTTCATGTAAACAGCATGACGTGAGGCCATGGATGCAGGCACTTAGATACACCATGTACCAGAATCAGTTGTTGGAGAAAATTAAAGGTATAAAGTTCTGTTTTTTTTTTTCCTTTCTCTTGAAATTAGCTTTATTGATACATAAACTACAAGTTTAAAGTGTACAGTTTGAGGATTTTGGCCCATCTTTGCCTGGGTGACCACCAGGACAAATAAGATTGGGAGCATTTCTTTCATCCTGGAAAGCTCCTTGCACCTTCCAGTCATGTCCCCCATGTACCCTAGCCAGGCAGTTACTGATGTCCTGTCTGTCACTAGAAATTAGATTTGTTTGCTGATGTTTCCTGTAAGTGGAATTCTGCAGTGTGCTTTCATGTCTGGCTTCTTTTGCTTAGGCATGTGTTCCATTGTATGGGTATACCAGCATTTGTTTATCTCTCCATCCTTTGATGAACAGTTGTTTTTATTTTCCTAGTTGGACATTTAAGTATGAGACTGCTTTGAGCATTCTTGTACAAGGCTTTGGGATTTGTTTCTCTTGAGTAAATGCTCAGGAAGGAGATTATTGGGTCACATGGCTAAAGTTTCTAAACAGCTTAGCAGTTTTTATGAAGTGGTTATATGTGGTGGACTCTTGCTTGTAATCCTAGCTACTTAGGAGGCTGGAATTGGAAGGATTGCAGTTAGAGGTCAGCTTGAGCAAAAAGCTCACCAAATAAGCCGGGTGTGGGGCACCTGTCACCCTAACTACTTGGGGCATAGGTAGGAGGATCATGATCTGAGACCAGCCCTATCTGGAAAATAATTAGAGCAAAAAAGGCTGGAGTGTGACCCAAGTGGCAGGGCGCCTGCTTGGCAGGTGCGAGAATGCAGGCCTGAGCCCAAATGGCAAAAGGGCAACTTATGAAAGTTCCAGTCATTCCCCACGCTTGGTGGCATCGACCTTTTAATTGTGATGTCTTGAGTGAGTGTAATCCCGCCTCATGACGTTATTTGCGTCTTCCTGATGGTGAACGCATTTGCCTGATGGTTTCATTTACACTGTGGCCATCACATATGTTATTTTTCAAATATCTGCTTCACATCTTTTGCACATACACATACACACACACACACACACACACACACACACACACACCCCGCTTTTTAAAAAATTTTTTAAATTTTAGCAGTACTGGGGTTTGAACTCAGGTCCCTATGCTTTGAGCCACTCCACCTGCCCTTTTTTGTGATGGGTTCTTTTCAAGATAGAGTCTGATGAACTATTTGTCCAGGCTGGCTTTTGAACCATGATCCTCCTGAGCTTTGTCTCCTGGGTAGCTAGGATTACAGGTGTGAGCCACCGGTGCCCGGCTTCTTTTGTCCATTTTTGATGAAGTGATAAGACTTGTTTATGTGTTCTGAGAACAAATACTTTGGCAAATAAAATGATTGTAAATGTTAGGTTTTAAAATGCTCCAAAATGAATAGCTAGCAACTTTTGCTTATGTAAGTATTTATCTTTGTTTCATTTTTAAGAAAGGTCTGTCATGTTAAGGGTGTGTTAGCAATTAATTTTATTGCTAAAAAACAGTACTGTTCCAGAATTGTGTAGCATTTTAGTGGGAAGCATGTAGCTGGGGTCACTGAGTAAAGTGGGAATGAAATGTCAGGCAAGCTTGCTTCCAAGGTAAGGGCTCCCTGTAGGCAGGTGGTCACTGGAAACGCTCTGGTTGCCTCTCAGCTCCAAACAGGGCCAAATTGGCAAATCGAGTGCTCATAGGGCAAATCATGAAACTTCTGAAGTACTTTCCTTTTTACTACTGTGGGGATCACCCCACATGTGATACTGTTGTAAGGAGTATATGCACAGAATACATAAAAGCCCGAGCACAGGTCACGGCATATAACAGGGCTGCGAATACTGCTGCCTTCTTTCCCACCCTTCCCATGTGAAGTGGAGCTTAAAACTGGGAAGAAAAATGCGTTCAGGGACAGAACACCATCCTCCTCACTTTTATATCATTTTTAGACAAGTCTTGATCAAATGTGCTTTGTGCCAGGTATGGACGTTGATACATAGTGTTGCATAAGACAAACCTGTTTTCTTCATTAGACTTGAGGGCCTCTAGAGTCCAGCAAGGAAAACTGTCATCAAACAAGGAACAGTGCCACTATATGTTGAATGGAAATAAAAATCCAGGCTGCTAAGTGAACATATATATATGTACATCAAGGACCCCTGATGTAATCCTAGGAATTAGAAGATGACTTGGGAAGGCTAGTAACATTTAAACAAGATTTGAGGATGGTAGAGATGAGAGGGATGACTGATTTGGTGAGAAAGCTAGAGAAGATGATGCAAGATTTCTTAGAGGGTTCCTTTGCCTGAGGGAGAGTAGGAAGGGATGAGCTGGGTAAGATTGGGATTGGAGGGAGTGCAAGGCATCAGTGCCTTGCAAACCAAACCTAGAGTTTGCACTTTGCCAGAAGGGCAGTGGGAAGCCATGGAAGGGTTTTAAGTAAGGGAGTTGATTTACTTTGTAAATCACTTCAGTTGCAGGTTATAGAATGGATTAGAAGGGGGCGAGGCTTATTTAACAGTAACCCTTTGGCAGAGGCTCTTTTCTAAAGATTGAGAAATTAAAAGGCTGACTTCTTATAGTGAGTGATTCTTACTTTTCTCTTCTTCATTGTATGCATTTAATTAAACATTGTGGTTTGTATACCAAACACTGTGCTAGTGTAGGGATTTGGGGATGAATTATCTTTGGGGAGGTTGTGAGGAAGGGACTAGTTAGAAAAAGCAGCCTGGAGTTAGGTGAACTGGGGACTAATGAAACATTTTCTTCTCTCCAGAACAAACAGTCCCAATTAGAAGCCACCTCATGGAATTAGGCCTGACGGCAGCAAAATTTGCTAGAAAACGGGGGAATGTGTCACTTGCAACAAGACTGCTGGCACAGTGTAGTAAGGTTCAGCTGGGAAAGACGACCACTGCCCAGGATTTAGTCCATCATTTTAAAAAACTGTCAACTCAAGGCCAAGTGGATGAAAAATGGGGGCCTGAACTTGATATTGAAAAAACCAAGTTGTTATATACAGCAGGTTAGTAAAGTGAATTACGGTTAGTACAAGAGTATAATAAAAATCATGTGTGTGAATGTCACTACGGGTGGCATTAAGGCGGTGATTGGAAAGCTGATGGTTTCCAGCTGCTGCAGAATACTTCTACTCAAGTTATTTTGTAACTGATTTACCTAAACACTTTTCAAAATAAATTTGTTATAATGTATTCAAGTAAGAAATGTTCCAGAAGTCATTATCACTGAATTTACATGTTTTTAAAAGTCAAAAATTATTTTACCCCAAAATAATTTTAGTCATTTGATTTTTTTAAGGATAGTCTTGTTTGTTGTTTTCTATAGGCCAGTCAACTTATGCAATGGAAATGTTGAGTTCTTGTGCCCTGTCCTTCTGCAAGTCTTCAAAAGCTGAATATGCAGTTGCTAAGTCAATTCTGACATTGGCTAAGTGGATCCAGGCAGAATGGAAAGAGATTTCAGGACAGCTGAAACAAGTTTACAGAGCCCAACAACAAAAGAACTTCTCAGGCCTTTCTACTTTGTCTAAAAACATACTCACTTTAATAGAACTGCCGTCTGTTAACACAATGGAGGAAGAGTACCCTCGGATTGAGAGTGAGTCTACAGGTAGGATTTCATTCTTTTCTTCACTTGAAAAATACTAATTTTGTAAGTTTAAAGTTCACAGGACTAGGAAAATATATATTATGTTGCCTGAAAGTAATTAATACACTCTTTAAGTTCTAATGTCGTACTTACAACTTGCCAGGTTCAGGCTGCTTTTATGTCTTAGACATTTGTGCTACCAATAGGGTCTTGCACCTACTTCCTCAGTTTTACCTCACACCAGAAGGAGCAACAAAGATAGAAAGGAATAGTAGTGATACAAAGACCCAAGCTTCTCATTTTGACATTAGCACTAGGTAACGAAAAGTTAGCTGATAAATATGTAGTTGATTCATTCATTCAAAATTTTTTGTTTTTGGCTGTGTTAAGTAAAGATTGGCCTTAGGGCCCAGTTCCAGGCAAGTGCTCTACCACTGAGCTACATTTTCAGCCTCAAGCAGTGTTTTTAGTGTCCTGTGTTTATAACTTGGGTGGTAACTAACCTCTTTGCAGAAACATTTGTTGTTCTCAAGTATAAGAGTAGGATGACTTTAACAGTTCTTATAAAAGAATGCTAATATATGTATTATGAGGTCTTGATATTCATGAAGGATATGTCTTATGATCATTAGAAATCGTGACAAATGCATTGTAGCAGGCAATTTCTTCCCCTCTAAAATGAAAATTAAAATCTCTGCCTCATGTGTTCTGTGATTGAATGAGCTGTATGTTCGTCACCTATGCATAATTCTTGCCAAAATGAATCCAGTCATGGGAAAATAGCCACTCAAATTTACAGTGCAAGACTTTGTACAGCATGGCTGAGGAACTGAACTGTCTGTAAAGTTCATTGTCACGAAAGATATTGATGTGTTCCACAGGTGCTAATCCAAGCTTGGGAAGCTAAGTGACTGACTTTAGAAGAGCACAGTCCAAATTTAGGCCTTATCAAATTATGTACAATAATACTGTGTACAGTAATATTATAATAATATTCACAGATAACATGCTAATGGAAATGCCAGAAAATTACAGATGTAGTGACAAATTCTTTCATTGTCATTTCCCCATCATTGCAGTACATATTGGAGTTGGAGAACCTGACTTCATTTTGGGACAGTTGTATCACCTGTCTTCAGTGCAGGCACCTGACGTAGCCAAATCTTGGGCAGCATTGGCTAGTTGGGCTTATAGGTGGGGTAGAAAAGTGGTTGACAATGCCAGGTATGTATGCTTCAATGTGTAATTTCATATGTTGCAAAAGAGAGACTTGAAATGTCTGACGATTTGATAAAGTTCTGATAGCTGAAATATTTATTGACTTGTTTATTTTTATAGTCAGGGAGAAGGTGTTCGTCTGCTGCCTAGAGAAAAGTCTGAAGTTCAAAATCTGCTTCCAGACACTATCACTGAAGAAGAAAAAGAGAGAATATATGGTATTCTTGGACAGGCTGTATGTCGGCCAGCAGGAATCCAGGCAAGGAGAATATGATAAACTGTGTTAGGTAGTGACAAGATTACTGTTCCAACTCACTGATTTTTGAGGCAATTGGTCACATACACTAAGTGCTGAACAAGGTTTAGGCAATCATTACAAATATTATTGAGTTTTGAAGTGACAGTGAGTTGTATTTTTCAAAGAACATAATTTCTGGAGAAACCAATTTCCTTATGTTCCTGAGGAAACAATAAAAAAAAGTAGGTAAAGTTAATTTTGTGTAAATTCAATTTCTCTTTTGATCAGAAATTGAGTTCTTGGGTTAGCAGTATAGGTCAGTGGTAGATTGCATGCATGCTTAGAATCTGTTAGGCCCTGGGTTCAGTGCTGAGCACCAGAAAGGGGAACAGTTAGATTCTTTATTCTTAGTTGAGAGCCTTATATGCCCATGCATGAACCCTAAGCTCAGAGATTCTGAATGGTCCCTATGCATGTGTTCAAGCTTACCATGTGTTTTCTAATAACAGCCAGAGTGGAAACAGTAGACTTAGGTGACTTGTAGTGTGTTCACTTCCTCCCTGATCAATGGCCTGTCAATTCTAGAATTCTGTAGCTATTGAGTGTTCAGGTGTGGTCTTGAAAGGCATGGGTTTTATTTGCCAGGCTAAAGTCTGTTCACTGAGCTGTGCTGTAAACAATGGCTTCTATAACTCTGCCAAAGTTGGTGTTAGAATAAAGAGAGTACCGTCTGTTGTGCATACTCATATCTTTAGCCTCAGACTGTGGGCTGAATATTACATTGTAATTTTGAATAATTTAAAGTACTAAAACCTCAAAAGCCTCTCTTTTTGGCCATGTTGGGATTGAACACAGGGCCTGTTGTGCCTGCTAGGCAACTGCTTTACCACTTGAGCTATGCCTCCAGCCCTTCAAAAGTCTTCAATCTTTGCTTACATCCTTTTTCATTGGCTGCATTAATAAATATAACAAGAAATGTTTTGACATTGATTTAGTCTTTATAGCACTAGTGATGGAATAATTTAGTTTTTCATAAATGAAGAAATGTTTTTCTATGACAGTTAACGCATGTTCCTTTCTCCTTTGTCACCTGGTGTTGAAAAATAGCCATTTTATGTCCAAATTTTCTCTAGGACGAGGATATAACACTACAGATAACAGAAAATGAAGATAACGAGGAAGATGACATGGTTGATGTTATCTGGCGCCAGTTAATATCAAGCTGCCCGTGGCTTTCTGAGCTTGATGAGAGTGTGACTGAAGGTGTTATTGAAGTGTGGAGGAGAGTCGTGGACAGGATCTTCAGCCTGTACAAACTGTCCTGCAGCGCGTATTTCACTTTCCTTAAGCTCAACGCTGGCCAGGTACTCACTTGCAGTTTCTTTCTAGTAAACAAAAGCAATAGCATGGAAAAGAAATTGTTTTCTTATTTCTTCCTTTAACCTTTCACTTTCAGATTCCTTTAGATGAGGATGACCCTAGGCTACATTTGAGTCACAGAACAGAACAGAGCACTGATGATGTGATTGTGATGGCCACCTTACGCTTGCTCAGATTGCTCGTGAAGCATGCTGGGGAGCTCCGGCAGTATCTGGAACACGGCTTGGAGACAACACCCACTGCTCCCTGGAGAGGTGATGGCCTGAATAAAATATGTCAGTAAATATTACGGTACAGGAAAAAAGAGAGGAGCCTGTGTTTAATATTGAAATGTGTTAAAGAATAGCTGTGTTAGTTCATAGGACATCCTGGACACCATGAAGGCCATCACTATTACCTCTAAATGGGAGGCTGGGAGGCAGGAGCTTTCTCTATGCAAAGTGAATTTTGGAGAGGGTGGTGAAATAAGTTTCAAAAGATTTCATACACCCTTTGTAAAAATGATTTGTGTCTGCCTTCTTTGTAGGCATGCATCAAAAATACATTTCTCTAGAACGTTTTTTACTTGCTCTGAACATTGATTACAGCTCTGTAATCTAACCAGACTTGCAAATCAAGAGTTACCATGTGTGGTTCTTTATCACAGTGAGAACGTTGAAACTCATAAAACTTGTTCTGATGCAGACATCTTTGGTACCTGGTGTGTTGACAGGTTTTATCGACTTTGTTTCTTTTTTTTATCCTAAAGGAATTATTCCACAGCTTTTCTCACGCTTAAACCACCCTGAAGTGTATGTGCGCCAAAGTATTTGTAACCTCCTCTGCCGAGTGGCTCAAGATTCCCCACATCTCATACTGTATCCTGCAATAGTGGGAACCATATCACTTAGTAGTGAATCCCAGGCTTCGGGTATGTAATCTTAAAATAGTTCTACTTCAAGTATGCGTTATCTGACCAATAATTTTTACGTCAAGTGTTTTGAGCTTTGTTCTAGAGTTGGTAATTTGTAGTCTTTTCAGTAGTAACAATTATCATTTATTGAGGGAGTAACTACTGTGTATCTGGCACTCGGGTATGTGTTTTGCATGGTAGCTTCAGTCCTTAAAATAACCTTTGAAGGCAGGGAGAGATGAAGCAATGCAGGTTCATGAAGCTGTAACTGGCAGATATGGCTTAGGTCAAGTTTTAAACTGTGGCTGGGAGTGCACCTTATTTGTTAAGAGATTCTCTTTTATCACCAGACTTTTTTTTTTTTATACTAGGTTTTAATATTTATAAATGTGAACAATCAACTTGTAAAAAAAATTATCTTTAGCCAGCTTAATGCTCAGAAGGAAAGTTAGTTAAATGTGTTATGGAGTTCACTAGCTTATCTGTGTTTTCCATAACTGAGTATCTGTACATAGAAGAAACAGTCAAAATATTCCTATTCTCCCATTTCACTATAGGTAATAAATTTTCCTCTGCAATTCCAACTTTACTTGGAAATATTCAAGGAGAAGAATTATTGGTTTCTGAATGTGAGGGAGGAAGTCCTCCTGCATCTCAGGATAGCAATAAGGATGAACTCAAGAGTGGATTAAACGAAGACCAAGCCATGATGCAGGATTGCTACAGCAAAATTGTAGATAAATTGTCCTCTGCAAACCCAACTATGGTGTTACAGGTATGAAGAAAGCCAGCTGCTAGGTTTTAAATAGCTGTATTAATTACCCCCGCACCCCCCCCAAAAAAAAAAAAGAAAAAAAAAAAAAGCCCTAAACTACTCACAGAGATTGTCAGGGCACTGATGTTTGAGAACCAGACCTTTAAGGATAATCAAAATTGGTTTTGCTGTTGTACAGCAATTGAATCACTAATTGGGGTTCTCTGATTGCATAATGAACATTTAACTGTGGAGCCTGTGTGGGGAAACCTATGCTGTGCAGCTCAGTGTGCGAGCTGTGGATGTGCTGTGTGTGCAGGTCCAGATGCTGGTGGCAGAGCTGCGCAGAGTCACTGTGCTCTGGGATGAGCTGTGGCTGGGAGTTCTGTTACAGCAGCACATGTACGTCCTAAGACGAATCCAGCAGCTTGAAGATGAGGTGAAGAGAGTCCAGAACAATAATACCTTACGCAAGTATGTTTCCGTTCACTTTAGCTCAAGAAAATGAAGCCGTTGCTTTTTTTCTTAAATGTGTTAATCAACATAAAATTTACCATCTTAACTCAGTGGCACTAAGTACACTCATGATACTGTGCAGCCATCGCCACATCCACTTCTAGAAAACGCATGTGTTACCCCATGCAGACTTTGTGCTCATTAAGTACTAATTCTCCTTTCCGGACCAGCCTCAATCCCGGTTAGCTCTAGTTCTGACTGTTGATTTTCTGGGTGTTTTGATAATAACCATCCTGATGTGTGTGATGTGGTATTGATTGAAGTGGTTTTGATTTGTGTTTCCCTAATGAAGTAGCGTATCTGCTTGTGTGTATGCTGTTCTTTGGTGTATCTTCTCTGGAGAAGTGTCAGTTGAAGTCCTTTTCCTATTTTTGAATTGGGTTGTCTTTGAGTTGTAGTTCTTTTTATATTCTGGATATTAACTCTTATCAGAGACATGATTTGAAAATATTTTTCACCAATCTCTGGCCTGTCTTTTTGCTCTCTTGCTACACAAAAGATTTAAATTTTAATTTAATCTTTCTTTCCTTTTGGTGCTATATTTAAGGAGTCTACTAAGTCTGGTATCAAGGAGCCTTTTCCCTTCTAAGAGTGTTTGTTTTGTTTTGGTGGCTTGGCAATATTGAGGTTTGAACTCAGTGCCTTGTGCTTGGTGTGCAAGTACTGTGGCACTTGAGCCACACCCAAGCCCTTCTAAGAGTTTTACAGTCCTAACTCTTACAGTTCAGCTGTTTGATCCATTTCACATTATTACTGATTGTGGTGTAAGGTAATGCTCCAACTTCAGATACTTTGCCTGTCAATATCCTGCTTCCCCAATATTATTGAGAAGAGAGGCTGCCTCTTTTATGTGCTGCATTTATTTTTACAATGCTGTCTTAATAAGTTGTTTTGCCAATGTTTTATTGCTCCATTTAGATGTATGCTTTGATACTATTGCTTACATGGAATACATTTAAAGTGTCCCATGGTTGTATAAAACTTCAGTAAACAGTAAATTCTTTAATGAAAATGTCTCCTTGCTCAGAGAAGAGAAAATCGCCATAATGAGGGAAAAGCACACTGCCTTGATGAAGCCCATTGTGTTTGCTCTGGAGCACGTGAGGAGCATCACAGCAGCTCCTGCGGAGACGCCTCACGAAAAGTGGTTCCAGGAGAGCTATGGCGATGCCATTGAAAATGCCCTTGAAAAGCTCAAGACCCCCTCTAACCCTGCAAAGCCCGGAAGCAGCTGGATTCCATTTAAAGAGGTACACAGTAGCTTCAAAAATGCCACTTACATGGTGAATCCCCTAAGAGATACAAAATTTAAATATGTGGGCTCTCTTTACTTAAGAGGAAATTTTTGTAAGCCCGGGGAAGTCAGCCTGTGACTGTTTGCTTATAAGGAACATTCATAAAAGAGGATTGTTTTGTTCATGTTGAGAGTTTAGGGACTGGCAGGCACGGGGTGGCAAAGGCGCCCACTCTGAATATGATGGGCTCACACCAGGGAAGAATGTACTGTACATGACTAGCCAAGAGGTGCTGTGGCCTTCAGCTGTCTGTTGCTTCTCTGCTGTATTATCATTGGAGGTAAAGAAATTGAATCTGTGTCTAGTTTTTCTGGGGTGGAATAGTCAGGGGTTTTTTTTTGTTGTTTTTTGGTTTTTTTTTTTTTTTTTAGCAAGTTCAGGTTGAGCATCACTAACCAAAAATCTGAAAAGCTCCAAAATAAACTTTTTCAATAGTGCTCAAATTTTTGGATTTGGGATGCACAGTAGGCAAAATTAATGCAAATATTCCCAAATCTGAAGAACTCTGAAATACTTTTGGTACCAAGTATTTGGATGAGGGATATTCTAGCTATAACTGTTTTTAACTGAATTCTGTATGTGTAATTGCTTGGGAGGAGTAGTGTATTTATAGGTTTGAGAATCCTTGTCGTTTATATTTTGGTCCCCTTAAATTCTGTGTTCTCTTTTGTCATTATCTTTTATAGCAATGCACCATTAGTTTAGAGAGGCTTTTCTTCATAGCATTGTGCTTTTATCTGGTTTTCCTCACCACTCCTTTCTCTATTACCTTTATGGCTTTTATTAATTGGTTTGAGAGAAAAATTAAAAGATACATGTCAATCCAAGCATAAAAATACAAAGCATAGCCATCTTTATTAGATGCAAATTATTAAATCCAGAAGAAGTAGCTAGAAGCACGAGACAACAAAACTAACGTGAAGGGTAAAGTTCATTAGGTGTGGCCTAGCCGAAGCATCACTGTCCTGTGGGCTCAGATTGGTTTCCTTCTTTTTTGTGTCCCTCTCAGTGAAGCAAGTAAGAAACCCATATGGGAGAGGGGAATACTTTGTGTGTGTGTGTGTGTGTGTGTGTGTGTGTGTGTGTGTGTAATCATTGAGAACATTTTTTATGATTGTGTACTGTAGCTGGATTTTGAAATGGTCTCATATGTAGCCCAGTGTGGCCTTGAACTTGTAATCATCTGGTCTCATCTCCTGAGTGCTGGGGTTATAGGAATGCACAGCTGATTGTCTGAATTTTAAAGAAAAATATTAAAAATACAGAAAGAATGCTTAGGTCCTCATTGCCTTTTAGCTATGCACAGCTAAAAAATATACAAATAGCTAAAGAAATACAACTTAAATCTTATCTCTTCCCTATTATCTCCTGCCCTACATCCACTGTTCTGAATTTTTATTTTGCCATGAGTGTAAAAAATAGTTTTTGTTTACAGATGTATTTCAAATGCTGTATTGTTCCAATCTATTGAGCTTTATTGTGTGTAATTTTTTTAACTGCTTCTATCAATTTACTGATAAATCTTTGATGATTAGCTCCCCTGCCTTGCCTCCCCCCCACACCCCTTTCTTTTTTTCCTTTTACTGGGGATGGAACCCAGGACCTTGCGCATCCTAGGTAAGCACTCTACCATTGAGCCCTTTCATCCAGTGTTTTGTGTGGAACTGAACGGTGACCCACTGTGTGGAAATACCAGTTTTTCTATTCTCTGTCAGTTGATATTTGGGTGATTACCAATTTTTTTTTTTTTTTTTAAAAAGTTCGCTAATGTTGCTTTCAAAATTTTCATGAGAGTAGAGCCCGTGATTTGTTAATTCAGGTACAGATTACTGAAATTAGCTTTAAGTAAGGACACAGTTGTACATGAGATCTGTTTTTCCCTGTGACCATTAGAAGGGATTGTGGGGTTGTTTTGCGTACTTAAGTGGTCAGAGCTCTAAACACTTCTCTGTTAAATGCTTTTACTTGAGGACACATGCCTGTAATCCCAGCACTCAACTCAGCAGGTGGAGCCTGGAGGATTGTGAGTTTGAGGCCATCTTGGACTATATAAGGAGTTCATATCTCAAAAAACAAATAGATGTCTTTATGTTTTGTCCTTCTTCAGTTTTATTAAGTCTGTTAGGAATCCATGTAATTTCCTTTCCTCCAATGCAGTAAGAAAGAGTAGATTGAACCTCATTGTTTCTCTTCCAGTTTAATGTGTATAACTTTCCAAGTACTTCCTAAGCATGTGCCTTCCTGACAACCAACTGCTAGCCATATCTTTTGCTTCATTGCAAAGACTGCATTGATTTTTGGCAGCTTTCAGGCATAGCTCAACACTAGGGAAATAATACCCTAATTTGGTATCCACAGCAATGTAGTTGTGTCCTGTGATTCCATTGGCTATTTGGGCTGAGGAGATGAAAGGGTCTTACCAAAGTGGGAATCATGCAGAGCATGGTGGGACACCATTGTTTCACCTCCCCAGGTGGTCCACAGTCCAATATCAAATTAAATGTAGGAATTAGAAGAGCGGGTGTTTGCATTTACTTTTATGACAAATTCAGTGTGGAAGAAAATGTGTTATAATCATAACGTAGACGTGTTTTTCCCATCTGTGATTATAGATAATGCTGAGTTTGCAACAGAGAGCACAGAAACGTGCAAGTTACATACTGCGTCTTGAAGAAATCAGTCCGTGGTTGGCTGCCATGACTAACACAGAAATTGCTCTTCCTGGGGAAGTCTCAGCCAGAGACACTGTCACGATCCACAGTGTGGGCGGAACTATCACAATCTTACCGACTAAAACCAAACCTAAGAAACTTCTCTTTCTAGGATCAGATGGGAAGAACTACCCATACCTTTTCAAAGGTAGGCCTTAAAAAGCATTCCATTTTCAAGCCAAGTGTTAGTTTTATTAATATGGGATGTTAGGACAGGCTGCTCTAGGTGAATTTCTGTGTATCACATAACTACCTGGGGTAGTTGAAAATGTCATGTTATTGGAATGGCAGTGGTTGGATGCATGTAGCAAGGTTTCCCTTTCCCATCAAGTGTGAATTTGTGCAAGCAGAACAACTGAGGTACAGCTCATAATGCTAGCATTCTCTAATGTTGTCCAGTGTGTCTCCCTGTACTATTGCTAGCTGAAAAGTGGTATGCTTCTAACCTTATTTGGTCACCTATTTTTGGAACTTTAATTTTGTTTTCATAGGACTGGAGGATTTACATCTGGATGAGAGAATAATGCAGTTCTTATCTATTGTAAATACCATGTTTGCTACAATAAATCGCCAAGAAACACCCCGCTTCCACGCGCGACACTATTCTGTAACACCGCTAGGAACAAGATCGGGACTGATCCAGTGGGTGGATGGAGCGACACCCTTATTTGGTCTTTATAAGCGATGGCAGCAGCGGGAAGCTGCCTTACAGGCACAAAAGGTTGAGTAAATGAAATATTTGTGCATTTTTATTTGAATACTCATGAACAAGTATATTTATCAGGATATGCTACGTGAAATATTTCTAGGCTTACTATATCTGAGTATGTTTACATGCTTATTAAAGGTTAAATTAGGAAAAGACTTGAGGTCGTTAAGAAAGTGTTCTTTGGGAAACATTTTGTAAAAAATAAAGTTTAATTGGGGAAATGTATTGTTAATTACTCAGTAATTAGATCGTTCACATCTTACTGCTCTTACTGGGTTTACTGAGGTCTTTTTAAATAGGATTTGTAAGTAATAGAAAATTTTGAAGCCTTGATTCTTAAGTATGAATAAGAGACACATCAAATGTAGAGTTAATCACTGTGGCATCCTTTTCTGTAGCTGTTGATTTTAGACTTTGATTTAAGACTAGGGCTTTAATTCAGAATTTATTTTAGCCAAGTACCTGTGTAATTAATATATACCAGCAACCAGTACTAAGTGCTAAGGATATTAAGATAAATTCTGTACTGTGCCAACCTCAGAACCTAAAATCCAGCTAAAGAAAATGCTACTAATGGAAGGTAGATATAGGAAGAAGGAAGAATTTGAAAGGAGTCAAGTTTTGTTTTTCTGATGTTTTTGTGGTGCTGTGGATCTAAACCAGGACCTCACTCATGCTAAAAATGCAACCCTTGAGCTGCACCCCGAGTGCCAGGAGTTATTTTAGATAGGGGCACAGGAGTCTGCAGAACAATTAGTATCTGGTGTTAATTTTATATAAATGATTGTCATAAATGAAGAGTGAAATGTGTATATAAGTGAGTTCTAAATTATAATTTTAAAACAATTAGATGTTACAAAGAAGAATATAACTGTTGAGCTTTCAATTAAACCTCAAATAGATTAACATTAATTAGTTAAAGGCCTACCTGGGCCATATAGCTAAACTCTGCCACAAAAAAACCCAAAAACTACTTTACCTTCTGAATAATCTTTGTCCTTATTTAAATAAAGTTAATCTTTTCTTTCTTAAAAAAATATTTTTTGAAGGCCCAAGATTCCTACCAAACTCCTCAGAATCCTGGCATTGTACCCCGTCCTAGTGAACTTTACTATAGTAAAATTGGCCCTGCTTTGAAAACAGTTGGCCTTAGCCTGGATGTGTCACGTCGGGATTGGCCCCTACATGTGATGAAGGCGGTGTTAGAGGAGTTAATGGAGGCCACACCCCCAAATCTCTTGGCAAAAGAGCTCTGGTCATCCTGCACCACCCCTGATGAGTGGTGGAGAGTCACGCAGGTATGAGGGTTTGGGCTGTGTCTGGTATTACTGCAAGGCCCTTCTTTTCTGCTTGCCTGCCTGTTTTGTTCTTCTGCTTCCTCTGTCCCTGTAGACATGGGAGCTTGAGACCTGCATTTGAATTTTAGTTTATAGCCAACAAAGTCGGACCATGATTTTGTCTTGAGGGCGGGATTTGGGTGTGGGGGTGTGAATGAAATGGAAAAGAATAAAAAATTGAGAAAGGGAAAACCAAAGTAGGCTGATGGAAAGTTTGTTTTAAAATCCAGTATTTTGATGATTATCTAGGACACGCAAAATGACAGCTGCATTGGGTCTGCGTGAACGTAGGCATCCATCCTGAGGAGTGCTTTTTTTTTAATCTGCTTTAAGATAAGGGAGTTGGATTGTGGGCTTCTGTCAGCTTCAGAGCACGTTGGAGGGAGAGTGGCTAATGATGCTAACCTTGCTCCCTCCCCTCCTCTTTAGTCCTATGCAAGATCTACTGCCGTCATGTCTATGGTTGGCTACATTATTGGCCTTGGAGATAGACACCTGGACAATGTCCTCATCGATATGACGACTGGAGAAGTGGTTCACATAGATTACAATGTGTGCTTTGAAAAAGGTAACATCAAAGTGGACTTGTACATTTAGAGGAGGGTCAAATGTTTTCTGGTGGAAGGGCAAAAATACACGAATTTATCTTTTCAAGGTAAAAGCCTTAGAGTGCCTGAAAAAGTACCTTTTCGAATGACCCAGAACATTGAAACAGCACTTGGTGTGACTGGAGTAGAAGGTGTTTTTAGGCTTTCCTGTGAGCAGGTATGCTATTTTCCCTTCTACCCTCAGTGTACCTATTAAGTGAATGAAACCTATGGAATGAAAATTGTATAAAGCATTTTATCAAGGAAACTTGTGGCAAACTTATTTGAAACTCTTTTGAAAATAGGTTCTACATATTATGCGGCGTGGCCGGGAGACTCTACTGACACTCCTGGAGGCCTTTGTGTACGACCCCCTGGTGGACTGGACGGCTGGGGGTGAAGCTGGGTTTGCTGGTGCTGTCTATGGCGGAGGTGGCCAGCAGGCGGAGAGCAAGCAGAGCAAGCGAGAGATGGAGCGAGAGATCACCCGCAGCCTTTTTTCTTCCCGAGTAGCTGAAATTAAGGTGAAGCCCAGCAATATAAAAAGTCACTGTCATCTTTTTGTCAGTGAGCATGACCATAAAAAAATTGACTAAACTGAGAGAGTGTCACAACTGGTAGAGCACTTTCCTAGCAAGCACAAGGCCCTGGGACCAATCCCTGATACCACCAAAGACAATAAAAAAGGAGGAATTTTAATTAGCCAATCACCCAATTGGTAATTGCAGTTAAAAAAGAATGTTTACTGGGCTGGAGGCATGGCTCAAATGGTAGGTGCAGCAAAGCTGTAAGTTCAAACTCCAGTACCATCCATTTCCCTCCCTTCCCCATCCTCCTGAACCAAAAAAAAAAAGGGGGAAGGTTTTTTTTTTTTTTTTGCAAGACTAATGTATGATGTTGAAATGGCAATAAAGGATGGAAATTTGATGTCATCTTATTAGGCAGTGCTCCCACACAGACACCCACAGTTACACTTTTACTCCTAGCAGAGGGAGGTTATTGATTTGAAAAACTTGTAACTTTTAAGATATATTGAAATGTGTTTTACCAATGACAATTTTAAGTGCTGTTTAAAAAGCATCTCCATAGCCAGAGATGCCAGTCTTGTTCTTTGTTGCATGGCACTGGGAAACTGAGTCTGTAAAATGGGGCAGTGTCTTGGTTCTGCTGAGATTTAGGTAGGGTAATACCCTCCTGCTCTTTTGACTCTGTGAGACTTTCCCTAATCACAGTACCTTTTTACAGGTGAACTGGTTTAAGAACAGGGATGAGATGCTGGTTGTGCTTCCCAAGTTGGACAGCAGCTTAGATGAATACCTAAGCCTACAAGAGCAACTGACAGATGTGGAAAAGTTGCAGGGCAAGCTGTTGGAGGAAATAGAGTTTCTAGAAGGAGCTGAAGGCGTGGATCACCCCTCTCATACGCTGCAGCACAGGTTTAAAGAGTGTTGGGTTCCTATTTGTCAATATGTGCCCTTGGGAAACATTTTCATATTTGTGTATACATTGTCAACTTGAGATAGAATTGTTACAGTAGCTCCCAAACTGATAAAATTTCAACACCTTAGTTTCAAAGTGTTCATGAACAGTTTACTTAAATTGTAGCCAGTAATGGGAGATTTGAACACACTTGGTTTCAGAAAACTTGGAACTTGATTTCCTCATGTAGTTGTGTCTGAGTCCTTACTTATTTGTGCAGTAGTAGTTATTTCATGTGCTTGGCTGAGTTTTTCAGAAATCAGTGGTCAGGGGAATAGACCTTACCCAGCAGGTGCTCAGTAAAGTGGAGTTGAATGTGCAGGAGCCAAGCATAGTAGGAGAATCTCCGACTACAAAGCTCAAAATCTTCAAGGAGCTTGAAACCTGCTAGATGTGACAGACTTCTTTAAAAATGTTGGGAGCATAGTTGAAGGAATTGCAGGGTCAGGAAAAACTAGAGGAGTTAAAAGACATTTGAACAGGGCCCTCATGATGGAAAAGGAGCTAGCTAGGTGGTCCAAGCCTGAGCCAAGTCCACATTCTTAAAGTAGGCAGAAGAAAGAACAGCAAGTGATCTTTGGGTTTGTCTCTCCTGACTAGGTATTCTGAACACACTCAACTACAGACTCAGCAAAGAGCTGTTCAAGAAGCAATCCAGGTGAAGCTGAACGAATTTGAGCAGTGGATAACACATTATCAAGCTGCATTCAATAATTTAGAAGCAACACAGCTGGCAAGTTTGCTTCAGGAGATAAGCACACAAATGGACCTTGGTATGGGTTGGCTTCTTTTACATACACATGGAGCATGTGGGTTCTGTAGTTGTGTGTTTGTACATAGGTTTTTGATTTGTCCTCCCTTTCAATGACTGTTACCTTGAAATGGTCTCTCTGTGATTTTATCTTTTACCAAAAGGTCCCCCAAGCTATGTTCCTGCGACAGCCTTTCTGCAGAATGCTGGCCAAGCCCACTTGATCAGCCAGTGTGAACAGCTGGAGGGCGAGGTTAGCGCTCTCCTGCAGCAGAGACGTTCGGTGCTCCGTGGCTGTCTGGAACAGCTCCATCACTATGCAACCGTTGCTCTGCAGTATCCAAAAGCCATATTTCAGAAACACCGGATTGAACAGTGGAAGACCTGGATGGAAGAGCTCATCTGTAACACCACGGTGGAACGCTGTCAAGAGCTCTACAGGAAGTGAGTGAACAGCATTGAATTTTCTCTCCAGTGCTCATTTGGGGGGTGGGTGGGGGGAGGATGGAAGCAGGGTGGTGTTCAAGTTTCAAATTAGCGTTAGATTTGGCCCTCTTTTTTTTTTTTTTGAGGCAGGATCTATCCTCCTACACCAGCTTCCCAAGTTACTAGGGTTGTAGGCTTCTGTCCTGGTTTTAAGAGGATGTATGCTCATGATTTCCCTTATAAGACAGTATGGTTTTTCCAACTAATTAAATACATCCTGCGTAATCACCATGGGATTGGTTTAGGGAGAGCTAGGCTCAAACCTTAATCACATCATTCAACAAGTCCTTCTAGAACAGTTGCTTAAGTTCTTCATACTTTATCTGTGAAATGGAAATCATGACCCTTCTGGTTGAGGTAGAATGCAAGTTTCCCTTGTACAGTATTTTGTAAAGCTTGAATTTTCATTACAAGCAGTGGTGTTAATGTTGTAACCAAGCATCTCTTTTGTTTCTATAGATATGAAATTCAATATGCTCCCCAGCCTCCCCCAACTGTGTGTCAGTTCATCACAGCCACTGAGATGACCCTGCAGCGCTATGCAGCAGACATCAACAGCAGGCTCATTAGACAGGTGGAGCGCCTGAAGCAAGAAGCTGTCACTGTGCCGGTTTGTGAAGATCAGTTGAAAGAAATTGAACGTTGCATTAAGGTTTTCCTTCATGAGAATGGAGAAGAAGGGTCTTTGAGTCTAGCAAGTGTCATTATTTCTGCCCTTTGTACCCTTACAAGGTGAGCTAGCTAACTGCATCTGGGCCATTTCACATGTCTTAGTTTTAACCCCACAGTTAAAAGTGCTGTTGTGCATTCCTTAGGCTGGCCCTGTGCTGAACTCGCCCACTTTCTTTCACATTTTGAGGTCTCCTTTTGGGTGAGCACCACCCAATGCAGTTACTGTGCACATGCTTACCCCATTTAGACGCAACTTGATGATGGAGGGTGCAGCCTCCAGTGCTGGGGAGCAGCTGGTGGACCTGACGTCTCGGGATGGAGCCTGGTTCTTGGAGGAGTTGTGCAGTATGAGTGGGAATGTCACCTGCTTGGTGCAGTTACTGGAGCAATGCCACCTGGGGCCACAGGACTTGGACACCCCAAACCCCATGGAAGCATCTGAGGCAGTTCACTTAGCCAATGGAGTATATACCTCACTGCAAGTGAGCACATTTTTCTGAAGTTTTACAAGTTTATATAATACATTGAACATCATCTTTCTCAAATCTTTGATCCAGAGCAACTGTTTCACTTCCCCCCTTTGAAGGTTGCTTAAGTAGTCATTTAAAATAAAGATCAAAGCTGAGAATGGTGGTTCACATCTGTAATCCCAGCACTAAAGAGACTGAGGCAGGAGGATTGCAAGTTGGAGGCTAGGGTGGGCTACATTGCAAGATCCTGTGTCAAACAAATCCATAGAGAGATCATTGTGGGGTTTGTAGCCATAAATCAGCTATAATTGCATAAGCTGAGTTTTAGTTTATGGCACTAAGTCTCCAAATACGTCATTTGTCTAAAGTTAGAAAACATTAAAATATGTTTTTCATGTGTTTATAGGAATTGAATTCAAATTTCCGGCAAATCATATTTCCAGAAGCACTTAGATGCTTAATGAAAGGAGAATACACCTTAGAAAATATGCTCCATGAGCTGGACAGCCTCATTGAGCAGACAGCTGATGGCGCCCCTTTGCAGACTCTGGTTGACTCTCTTCAAGCCTATTTAAGAAATGCAGCTATGGGGCTTGAAGAAGAAACACATGCTCATTACATCGATGTTGCCAGGCAAGTGAATGCTAGCTGTGCCCTGTTGCTGCTCCATGAAAGAGATGGGGCAGCCAGGTAAAGGGATTCTGAGCTCTAACTTTACTGTAATTTTATTATTATTATTGTTACGTTGTTTTTGGTTTGAACTCAGGGCTTCACACTTGTAAAGCAAGGGTTCTCCCACTTGAGCCATGCCTCCAGTCTACTGTAAATTTAGTTCTAATTTTCAGAGATGCATAATTACAGATGATCACACTTGTACCTTTTTAAAGAAATCTTTAATTGTAGATTCCCTGGAAATTGTCTTTAAAAAGTATAGAAAGGTTTTGTACACTCTTTATCTCTCCTGCCTTTATCCAGTGTTGGCGCCTTCCATACTTCCACTGTGAAGTAGACAATGGTACAGTCACAGAACATGCTCCGGTTTCACGAGGTATACATGCACTCATTTTTGCATGTGTACTCATGTATAGTTGCCTGCAGTTCTGTCACCACTGTATTCCTACATGTGTGCACACACAAAGTTTAGTGTGCAATTGTTAAAGCCAGTCCTGGGAACTCCATGGAGGCATCTGAGGTGTCTTACTCAGCTGGTGGAACATGCACCCCACTTTGGGTGGACACTTTAAAATTAGTCCTCCACTCTCATCCAGAAAAGCAGTTTGACTTTGGAAACCGCAGAGGTTCAGTAGTTCCCCATACTCACGATTGTCCCCATAGTGCAGACCTCTTTCTGTGCCATTCACCTCAGAATTTCCCAGCAGAAATTGCAGGATAAAGTTAGTTGTTTTAGCCACTTTAGTGAGAAAAGGTATAATTAATGGTTAACACATACCAGCTAAGTACTGATTCCAATGGTCTCCATAACAGCATAATTTCTAGCAGCCCTTAGATGCTAAATCTGTTGCATCCCTTTCTTTTCTTCTGCCCCTGCTGTCATAACCACCTCCCCTGCCCTCATGAGAATTGTGCGCTTTGGGTGACAAGTTTCACACTGCTTCTGTGGTGGGCTGTCTGTGCCTCATTTGGATAAATCTCAAGGAAAGTTTCATACCATCTTGCGGCTCTTTTTCTAGCATAAATTTTTCTGGTAGCTTACCATTTTAATTCTCTCTTAAAACTTTAATAGTTCCATTTATTTGGAATGGTTTTTCTAGTCAAAAGTAGTTAATCTTCATTTTATTGATAGTAAAATGAATTGTATTTTTGCTTTTTATATAGTGCCTGGACACATAAGCACTATGTAAGTCTTAAATAATAATGGGAGGGATAAACTTGAACTTGTGAAGAACTCACATTAAAAATAATGCATAATTGGGGCTAGTGGAGTGATTCCAGCAGTAGAGCACGTGCCTAGCAAGCGTGAGGCCCAAGTTCATACCCCACAGTTCAAAACTAAACATACTGTTTATACTTGGTTTTACTGTGTATGTGGCTATTGTTTCAACATACCTAACAATTTGTTAAAGTATTAGAATTTTTTTTTTTTTTTTTTTTTGCTTTTTGGCAATATTGGGGGCTTGAACTCAGGGCATTGTGCCTCCTAGGCAGGTGTTTTACCACATGAGCCATGCATCCAGAAATTTTGTTCTGGTTATTTTGGAGACAGGGTCTCTTTATGCCCAGGCCACCCTGGACTACAGTACTCCCATTTTAGGCTTCCTGTTGTTGCTGGGATGACGGGTTCATACCACTGTACCCAGCTTTTTTCCATTGAGATAGAGTCTTGTGAACTGTTTGCTCTGGCTGGCCTGGAACCTCGATCCTCCTGATCTCAGCCTCTTGAGTAGCTAGGATTAAAGGTATAAGCCACTGGCCCCTGACTGTCAATACCAGAAGGGTTTGTAGACTTTGCACACTAGCTCTCAGACTTTCTACAACCTTCAGTGTTCCTCTAAATACATTTCTCATCAGTGAGGGTTTTAAACTCCTTCTTTTTCTCTAGAATACTGCATGCTCAGTATGGTGAATTAATCCAACCAAGAAATGGTTCAGTTGATGAAACACCAAAAATGTCAGCTGGCCAGATGCTTTTAGTAGCATTTGATGGCATGTTTGCCCAAGTTGAAACTGCTTTTGGCTTACTGGTTGAAAAGGTAAGCATTGATTTGATTTTATGAATTATGTAAGTACATTGCACTAGTCATTAAGTAAGAGAATAGTGGAGAAAAGAACTTTATTTTCTTGACGTAGTTAAACAAGATGGAAATTCCTGTAGCTTGGCGGAAGATCGACATCATACGGGAAGCCAGAAGTACCCAAGTTAATTTTTTTGACGATGACAATCACCGTCAAGTGCTAGAAGAGATTTTCTTTCTCAAAAGACTGCAGACAATTAAGGAGTTCTTCAGACTCTGTGGTACTTTTTCCAAAACATTGTCAGGTAATATTTTATCTTTAAACGTTAAGTTGGGATTAGTTCGGTAGTACTTTGGCTTTAGTGGAAATAGGCTTAATTTGATTGCACATTCATAAAACTTAATAGCTTTACATAAGCCGCATTATTGCCTTATTTTTATTTTGTGCTTTACTATCTTCTTAACTGTCTTGTAATTTTATTAAAAACTTTTTTCCTTATTTTAGGATCAAGTTCACTTGAAGATCAGAATACTGTAAATGGACCTGTGCAGATCGTCAATGTGAAAACCCTTTTCAGAAACTCTTGTTTCAGTGAAGACCAAATGGCCAAGCCCATCAAGGCGTTCACAGCTGACTTCGTGAGGCAGCTCTTGATAGGACTCCCGAACCAGGCCTTGGGTCTCACACTTTGCAGCTTTATCAGTGCCCTGGGGGTGGACATCATTGCCCAGGTGGAGGCCAAGGACTTTGGCGCTGAAAGCAAAGTCTCTGTAGATGACCTGTGTAAGAAAGCAGTGGAGCACAACATCCAGGTGGGGAGGTTCTCTCAGTTGGTGATGAACAGGGCAACTGTGTTAGCCAGCTCCTATGACACTGCATGGAAAAAGCATGACCTGGTGCGCAGGCTGGAAACCAGCATTTCTTCCTGTAAGACAAGCCTGCAGCGGGTTCAGCTCCACATCGCCATGTTCCAGGTAAACAGTTTGCCTTGTAATGTGTTTTCTACCTTGGGAAAGTTTGCCTAGCTGTGATTCTTTTCAAATGCTTCTCTTATACCCTATTTGTGCCCCACCCCATCGTATAGGGCCTGCTGGGTTTTTTCTCTTCCCCCAGTTCTAACTCATGTCTCCCTCCCTTTTTTATCTAAATATTTTTTCTCCTGCTGTTATTTTTTTATTTGAATAGTGGCAACATGAAGATCTGCTTATAAACAGACCTCAAGCCATGTCAGTCACACCACCCCCTCGGTCTGCAATCCTGACCAGCATGAAGAAGAAGCTGCACACTCTGAGTCAGATCGAAACCTCCATTGCCACTGCCCAGGTGTGTCTGCCAGGTCTCCTTCCCAGCACATTAGCTTCTGAGAGTCGCTTAACCCTAGCACTGCAGTGTGTCTGTGCTGTCCTTGGCCTCTAAGCCAAAGGACCATTTGCCTTTTCACTTTTATTTTTTTTTTGGTGGGACTAGAGTTTGAACTCAGGGCCTTGCACTTGCATAGCAGTTGCTGTACTGCTTGAGGCACTCCTCCAGTCCATCCTGCTCTGGCTATTTTGTAGATGGGGTCTTGCAGTTTGCCCAGGCTGTCCTTGAATTTTGATCCTCTTGTTCTCAGCCTCCCATATAGCTAGGATTGCACACATGAGGTCCCTTTTCACTTGCATGTTAATTTGCATCTTTTATTTCTTACCCTGCAAGATAAATGGAGGCTACTATTCCACTGGGTTTTTTTTTTTTGGTGGGGGGTGCAGTATTGGGATTTGAACCTAGGTCTTCCTGCTTGCTAGGTAGGTACTCTACCATTTGAGCCATTTGCCAGCCTGATAAAGTGGGAGTTTTTGTTTTGTTGTATGTATTACTGGGGCTTAAACTCAGAGCCTCATGCTTGCTAGGCAAGCACTCTACCATTTGAGCCATACTGCCAGGGTATTCCAGGTTTTTAATGAATTTGACAATTGCTGTGCTTATACACTAAGGGAACCTTGGTGATTAGAAAGAACCTTGAGTTCTCCTGAAATGTGTACAAGTGATACTGTCTGTGCATTGCACAGATTGGGCACTGATTCTGCAGTGCACATAGTGGAGTTATGGGATGTCTAAAACAGCATGTCGTTCTAAGTGATTATTGTTGACTATTGATTTCAGCTAAATATCATTTTTAAAATAAATAAAAGAGTCTTGATAAAGATTGTATATATCTTCACGTTGTGTGTCCTTTGTACCTCATCTATTCAGTAGTAAGTGGCATTGTTTTCTGTTTTTATAAATGGCAGTGTAAACTTGAGTATAATTACTACTGTAGTATTTAGAAGTTTTGTGATGAAACTCTTGGAGTTCAATTTTTTGACAACTGAAACACCCTGCAGCATGTTAGAACACACTCTCAAGTTAGGAGAATGAATTTGCCTCCCACCCCTTTCTGGTAAGACTGAGGTTTAACCCAGGGCCTCATGCTCTGTCTCTCTACCACTGAATCACACCCCTAACCCTTTTTTCTTTAGTTGTTTTTCAGGTAGGGTCTCAAGATTTTGCCAGGGCCTCACCTTAGACTGCTGCTGTCTTTCTATTTCTGCTCTCAAATAGCTAGGTAGCTGGGATTATAGGTATATAACATCATCCCCAGCTTGTTTTTTGAGATAGAGTCTTAATTTTTTCTTGGCCCATGCTGGCCTGAGAAATTTATCTTCCCATGTAGCTAAGATTATAGGCGTGCACTACCATACGTTGTCCTCTTTTAGATATTAGAGGTATTGGTGGAGGGCAAATGCCTCCACCTGAAATAGTGAATACATAATGAATAGCTTTGTTATATAAAACTTGCCTTGTCATAGTAAATTGGATCTTTTATTTGGTTGGACTGGGGTTTGAACTTGGTGCCATGCACTTGCAGAGTAGGCACTTTCTACTGCTTGAGCCCCACCTCCAATCCAGCTGGATGGATTTTTTTTTTTGGGGGGGGCCCTGGGGTTTGAACTCAGGGCCTACACCTTGAGTCACTCCTCCAGCCCTTTTTTGTGAAGGGTTTTTTCAAGATAGGTTCTCATGAACTATTTGCCTGAGCTGTCTTTGAACCATGATGCTCCTAATCTCTGCCTCCTGAGTTGCTAGGATTACAGATGTGAGCCACTAGTGCATGGCTCTTTTGGATAGATTTTTACCATTACTCACTTAAGAATTTCACAGCCAAAATTATAAATGGTGTAGCAGGCTTTTTCTTTCTTTCTTTCTTTTTTTTTTTTTTTTTTTTTTAATAATCTAGCTCTGCCTCCTGAGTTGCTAGATACAGATGTGAGCCACTAGTGCATGGCTCTTTTGGATAGATTTTTACCATTACTCACTTAAGAATTTCACAGCCAAAATTATAAATGGTGTAGCAGGCTTTTTCTTTCTTTCTTTCTTTTTTTTTTTTTTTTTTTTTTAATAATCTAGGGCCTCCTGTGGACTAAGTATGCACTCTCACCACTGAACTGCACCCTCAGCCTCTGTGTTGGTCTTTTAAGTTTTTAATTTTATTTATTGTGGTGCTGGAGATCAAACCCAAGGTGTCATGCATGATAGGCAACATTCCCAAACCTGTTCTGATTTTTCAAAGACTGTTCTATTTTTAAATGAAAATGACAATTCCCAATGCTGCAAAAAGAAAAAAAGGAGAGGCAGGTGCCAATGGCTCATGTGTGTAATCCTAGCAACTCAGGAGGATCATGATTTAAAGTCAGCCTGGAAATTTAGTATTTGAGACCCTATCTCAGAAAAAAAAAAAAAACAAAAAAACAAAAAAAAAACAAAAGAGAACGAGACTGAAGAACAAAGGGAGCTTCTGCCAGTCAGGCGAGGAGGCATTCTGGAGACTGAAGCAGGATGATCACAAGTTCAAGGCCAGCTTGAGCTATATAGTGAGACCTTATTTCAAAAAACTAAGGGCTGGGGATGTAGCTCATTGATAGAGTGCTTGCATATGGAAGGTCCTGGGTTCAGTCCCCAGTATCATAATGAGTCTGTCTATCTGGAAGCCAGTTCTTCCCTCCCCTTCCCAGACTTGTTTGGTCTTAAATACACAAATGGAAACAGGAATTCCAAAGGGAAGCCATTACAAATGTTTTCTAAAGCATTCTTGCCCCACCTCTGCTTCTTTGGAATCTCTCTTGTATCATATGAAGTGCTTGACAAATAGGAAGTGGAGAAAGTTGAAACATTGTGAGGGGGTTTCTGCTGTGTTTTACAGGAGAAGCTAGCAGCACTCGAAGCAAGTATTGAGCAGCGGCTCAAGTGGGCAGGTGGTGCTAACCCTGCATTGGCACCTGTGCTACAAGATTTTGAAGCAACAATAGCTGAAAGAAGGAATCTTGTCCTCAAAGAGAGCCAAAGAGCAAGTCAGGTATGCACCATGAGCTCCCTCATTGTGTCACTTTCAAGGCTGTAGAACTAATGGAAATCAAGAATGGAGTACCCCAGGAGGATGGGCAGGTGAGAGCCCTGCTCTAATCAGCAGGCTAGACCGACAGGGCTTCCCTGCTCTTTGCGCTGGGGCTCAAAGCCAGTTATTTCCCTAGGCCTTTATTGTCTTCTGTTCAAATATTAAGGAAATGGATTCAGCCTCTGTTGCAGATAAATGTGATTTAAATCCTGTATTTTCCTAAGGTTTTTTTATATGCATTTAAAGTGATACAAATATTTGAAATTTTTTCCACATAACAGTAAAACGTTTTATGTGGCAGGACTTTGTACTCTGGCAAAAGTTGTGGATTAACTTTGTGGTGATTTGGGAGTTGGGAAGGAATGCCATAAACCTCAAAAACCTACTGTGGAAAGTTTCAATCAGTTCAAAATAATACCTCTTGTACCCATCACCGAAATTTGATAATTACCAATTTATATATCTTATCTACATTCCCTAATCCTCCCCCAACTCCATATTTAATATAAATACTATTATACATGTATAACTTTATAAATATTTCAGTATATGTCTTATAAGAATCACTTCCAACATAAGACAGTGCTTTTAATCATATAATCATAGCTTTGCTTTTCTTTTTTTTTTTTTGGCAGTACTGGGGTTTGAACTCAGGGTCTATTCCTTGAGCCACTCTACCAGCCCTTTTTTTGGTAATGGGTGTTAACTACTTGCCTGGGCTGGCTTTGAACCTTGGTCCTCCTAATCTCTGCCTCCTGAGTACCTAGGATTGCAGGCATGAGCCACCGGGATCCAGCTTAGTATAGCTTTTTTAAAAATGTGCTTTGTATAGCCAAAAAAAATCAAGTTGTTACTGTGAAGATAGGCAGGAGTAGAAGCAAAAGAGGATACACTGACAGAAATGTTTCCTGAAATTGTACCTAAGTGTGATACCAGTTTTATTGTGGAATATGTTTAGACAGTCATGTAGTAGCTAGCTGCTTTGGGTTACCTAAGTGTTCTTAGGTGCTTTGGCCATCTCAGACTTTACAGTATTGACAGAAATTAAAATGTGCATTTATCGGTAGCTTTTGTAAAGATAATGGTCTTTTTTTCTAAAAGAGCCATCCATTTTCATGATCACTTGTCTGGATTCTGGAAATCAGTAGGTAGTGTTTCTTCATGTCTTTAATTCCCTCCTCCTGCAATACCCTTTGTGATGGCTCCATCTTTCTCTTCATAGGTCACTTTCCTGTGTAGCAATATCATTCACTTTGAAAGTCTGCGAACAAGAACTGCAGAAGCCTTAAACCTGGATGCTGCGTTATTTGAACTAATCAAACGGTGTCAGCAAATGTGTTCATTTGCCTCACAGTTTAATAGTTCAGTGTCTGAGTTAGAGCTTCGTTTGTTACAGAGAGTGGTGAGTCTTGGTGGGAGTGAAGAAACCTGGTAATTAAAATTGTAAGGCCTGTGTCAATCCATCTGATAATGAGTTTACACTCATTGAGCATGTGCTGTATATAAGATGTTATGAAAGTATAGTGATGATTAAATTTTGGTCTTAGCTCTTGAGGAACTTACCATTTATTTATACTATTTACAATAGTATAATGAACGAAAAAGTGAAAAAGATTCTTAGAGTTACAACCAAAGAACTATAGAAGTCTCAAAGGGTGGAGAAAGCATGTATAGTAATGATGCAGATGCACTGGAAATAGAGCAATAGAAAAAGAGCTAGTGGAAGATGAGTGCTGGAAAGATGAGCTGAGTCCACAATACCAAATTGATATGGTTGGATCCAGATCATATTTGTCATTCCAGATGACAAACTCAGGTCTTATACTTTAAGTATGGTTGTGCAGAAAAGTGTGTGTTTCATAGACTGTTGAAATTAAGTACTGTTTTGTAGGTAATTAATTCAAGACCCAGCAACTGAGGATCTCTCTGTGTCAGCTTGAGTTCTGACATGAATGTCTTGTGGTGATGGTAATAGGAGTCATTATTCTAGCTGAGTACTCAAATGCTTGTTCTGTGCAGGACACAACCCTTGAACATCCTATTGGCAGCTCTGAGTGGCTTCTGTCAGCACACAGACAACTGACTCAGGACATGTCTACTCAGAGGGCAATTCAGACAGAGAAGGAGCAACAGATAGAAACTGTCTGTGAAACCATCCAAAGTCTGGTTGATAATATAAAGACTGTGCTCACTGGTCATAACCGACAGCTGGGAGATGTCAAACATCTACTGAAAGCAATGGCTAAGGTAAAATGAATATCACTGACACAATCTACTCTTTTATGAAATTACAAGTCATTTTTTTGTTCATGGAAAGACAATGACATTTTGCAAACAACTTGTTTCAGCGTTAATTTGTGTTTTCTTCAACTACTTTTTAAAAGCAAGTAATAGTATTTTGATTTTTGTATACAGAGCAACTGAGGCTTAAGTTAATTTACTCAGTCATATAACAAATATTTCAGTTTTCATGCTCTCTTCCCCACCTGTACATATAGTTTAGTTAGTGAAGAAACTGAACCCACAGAAAAGGCTAAATTACTCTATCATTACAAAACAGTAAGTAATTTAATTTTAAGATTTTTTTTTTTTGCCTTGAATTCTTATTGGTGCTAGAAACAAAGATCCTGTACAAAAGAAATTAACCTGTCATAAGCAGATTAAACATACTGGATTTGGAACATTTACACTTCTTGACCAGGGGCTGCTTTAAGAGTAATTGCCCAGACAAAGCCACTTTTCCTAGTCACTGCTATTGATTATAGGATGAAGAAGCTGCTCTGGCAGACGGTGAAGATGTTCCTTATGAGAACAGTGTGCGGCAATTCCTGGGTGAATATAAATCCTGGCAAGACAATATCCAGACAGTTCTGTTTACACTCGTCCAGGCTATGGGTCAGGTTCGAAGTCAGGAACATGTTGAGATGCTCCAGGAAATCACGCCTACCTTAAAGGAGCTGAAAACACAAAGTCAGAGGTAAGAATGCCTTCTGACCAAAATTTATAAATGTAAGCAAAACATCTGGTCTAGTAACTTTCTCTCAGTTTTTTCAGTTTTGCTCATATTTTTGTAAGTAGTTACCTTCTAAAATATTTCATAAATAAACATTTCATACATTTTGTATTTCAGTATCTATAATAATTTAGTGAGTTTTGCATCACCCTTAGTCACCGATGCAACAAATGAGTGCTCAAGTCCAACGTCATCTGCTACTTACCAGCCATCCTTTGCTGCAGGTAGGAGAAGATCTTGGTTTGTTGACAGTGCATGTGTCAATGCTAAGATGCTGTAACTATACATGATGTCTAATAGGTATTCTTATAGTCACTGCAACTTCAAAGGGGTTCCTTAAGCCCTGTCATACATTAAACACAATTGGTTTTTGGCTTATCTTTAAAATTACTCATGCATGTTCTTCAAAAAATGCATTGTACGTGTCAGACATGGTGATGCACTTCTGAAATTTCCACACTTGGGAGGCTGAGGCAGGAGGATCTCGTCTGAGGCCAGCCTTGGGTGCATGGTGGGACTTATCTCAAAAAAGTTTTTTTTATAATTCTAAAATGCCATAAAAAAGGTATCATGCCTCTTGGAAAATTTAGAAAAATACTTAATAGAAAAAAATTAAAGTTCTGTTCCAACTAGAGGTAAAAAACACTGTTGGTTACTCACTCCTCTGTGTCCATGTGCATACATTCACGCAAGTGGGATCATTTCACAAATGCACTTCCACTTGTACTTCCTGCCATCACATCTTTTCAAAATGACTCATTGGCCAAATTTAATATGCCATTCTGTGTCTGTACCATATTAATCTTCCTGTATCTCATACAGGAAAAACATTCATGGTTTTTGATGAAACAAAAGCGTCATTGTACGGGTTCATATATGAATGTCCTCCTGTCTAGGCTATTTAAGGTAAAGATAATTGCTATGTCAAGGGGTAAGGATAGTAAAATCATAGAAATAGCAACTTATTTTCAAGGCCATGGTTGAGTATTTAATTTGGGGCATTTACCACCAGCCATCCCCTGCTTTCCTCCTGTCCCTCTCCATTCTCTGTTCACATGTAAATTGAGCCACCAACTCTTTTTCTGTAGCAGTCCGGAGCAACACTGGCCAGAAGACTCAGCCTGAGGTCATGTCACAAAATGCTAAAAAGCTCATTCAGAAAAACCTTGCTACATCAGCAGACACTCCACCAAGCACTGTCCCAGGAACTGGCAAGAGTGTTGCCTGTAGTCCAAAGAAGGCCGTCAGAGACCCTAAAACTGGGAAAGGTAATTAGTCAGAATGAGGGTGTCTTAAAATTTACACGAGACTGTTGTTTTGACTGACATGTTTTCATTGCTTCATAGCCGTGCAAGAGAGAAACTCCTATGCAGTCAGTGTGTGGAAGAGAGTGAAAGCCAAGCTAGAGGGCCGGGATGTTGATCCCAACAGGAGGATGTCAGTTGCTGAGCAGGTGACTAGTTTTAAAACCTGAGCTACACATTTTAATGCTGCTCCAAAAGTGTAGGTTTAAGAATCCTCTCCCCCATTTCCTTGGTGGTTCATCAAGAAGAAAGGAATGTAAACCTATTTTTAAGATACAGAAGAATTTGAGTGGCACACCTCTGGAGTTGTCACATACCCACCACTTTACCCAGGCCCTCCCTGTTGGTGCTGTCCTTCACCCACAACCTTTAACCCACACTAGTCCTACATTGGACTCCAGTTAGGTTTCATTTTAAAGAGTAATATCTGGAGGCTTGATTCAAATGATGGTATTTTGGGTGCTGGAGTAGTATTTGTTAAGCCTCCCTAAGTATGTGAGGTTTTGTCTAAAGTCATTACTCTTTTTGTTTTTTTAAATCTTTGAGGATGATTTCTTTAATCTCCAGTGCATGTTGTGCTCCCCTTCCCCACACCTCACCCCCAGTAACTGGGGCTTGAACTTGGGCTCATGCTTCATGCTTGCTTGTGGTAGGCACACCCCCTTTTCTTGCCTTTTTAGTTATTTTTCAGGTGGGGCCTTATGTTTTTGTCTGGACCACCCTTTGGACCATGATCCCCCTACCTTTGCATCCTGCATAGCTAGGATGACAAGCATGTATCACCCTGCCCAGCTTGTTGGTTGAGAATGGGGTCTCACTTTTTTTCCCCCGAGCTGCCTCAAACCTCGATCTTCTGATTAGCTGAGCTACTGTGCCTGGCTGTCCCCTAGCTGTTGTAGGAATGCTCATATACTTCTTAACCTAGGCTCACTGGTTCTTAACATATACCCACATTTGTTTCATCATCTGTGTAACGTTTCCTGGGTGTAAATCCAAGAGCAGGTGTAGGGTGGGTGGGGCTCTCTTCATCTCTGGATCCTAAGGCTCAAGGTTATTGTGACTTTCCCAAGACAAATCTTTTTAATCTGTGGTCATGAGAGAATGTCACCTCTCCTTCCACCTTAGCAGCCACCAGCCCTATGGATAGTTTGGGTGATTAGAAACTTGAGGTCAGTACCATGCCCTGTCAAATTCTCAGGGGCTTTAAATACCGTCCTGCTTATTTTTCCAGGTTGACTATGTCATTAAGGAAGCAACTAATCTAGATAACTTGGCTCAGCTGTATGAAGGTTGGACAGCCTGGGTGTGAATGGCAAGACAGTAGATGAGTCTGGTTAAGCGAGGTCAGACATCCACCAGAATCAACTCAGCCTCAGGCATCCAAAGCCACACCACAGTCGGTGGTGATGCGACTGGGGGCTTACTCTGAGGAAACCTAGGAAATCTCGGTGCACTAGGAAGTGAATCCTGCAGGACAGCTGCACTCAGGGAATACGCCCAACACCATGGCCTGCAACCCCAGGGTCAAGGGTGAAGAAAAAGAAAGCGAGCTCACCGCCTGCACACGGAGATTGTCTTTCTGCCACAGAGCAGCTGCAAACGTGTCAGGAGGTTAGCTGAGAAAGAAAGACATCAGGATGCCGCGGAGCACAGAGTGATTTGGAACTCCATTCCACCTGACCCTGTGTGTGCAATCCAGGAAAACAAACCCCGCTCGGAAACAGAAAACTGGGGCCGCGAAGAAATCACAACCAAGGAAGATTTGATGCATTCAGATTCTTGAGAAACACTTGTTGCTTGGCAACAGTACTGGTTGGGTTGACCAGTGAGTAAAAAAAGGCTATGCGATATGAATTTCAGAAATGGACTGAAAATAGAGAGTTATGTGGCAGATACACTACATTGGAAGAACTGACTTCTGAAATGAAGGGAAAAACCACCCATTCATCCCCATCCCACCACCTCTTACCTCTTACCTGTTCCCGTTTACCTAATCTAGTAGACTAGCCACCTTCCAGATTCACTTTTATTTCAATCCTTATATTTCATACACTTCCATCTTGATGCTGTTAGCTTACATTTGGAGACACAAATTTCTCCCAAACCACTGATAATAAGGAAAATTCAAGGATTGTTTAAAGGTCTGATGTAATTCTGGTTATTTAAGTCATTTCTGTGATTCTATCATGTGCAGTTTCCAGAATTGTCACTGTGCATTCAAAAGTAATGAATCTAACAGACATTTGATTTAATGTACACTCCCCTTTGCTTATGGTGTACATTTTTTGGAGGTCATTAAACTTTTCCCTCTTCTGTGATTGCTGTAGTTTCTTTCATAGAAAGTAGCTAATCTGATGTAATCTTTTACCTTTTACAAAACCAGGATAGAGGACTTATCAGAATTTTACATTGTTGATGGCAGCTTAATAATAAAGTGATGTTCTGGTGGAGGTAGAGTGAGATGTTTTTAATTCAGTTTTCTCATTTGGTACTTTTAATTTACAAAGTGTAAACTCTTTACACGTTAAAGTGTAAATTAAAAGTGCTTTAGTTTACCTGGCATTTTAGGACATGTACATAAAACACCAGCAAAAGTGGGAATCACTACCGTCCTTTTAAGTTCAGTTATTAGTCTGTGAGGTACTTTCCTTTTTGCATTATTTTAATAGCTTGCTGTTCAGTGATAGAATGTAGACAATTCATGGTCAAGGTTTCCTTAATTTTAGCATCTCATCTCAGTACTGACTGTGTGAGCTAAATTGTTAAAAACTCAAGACTAGAATAGGATTATTAGTATTAGGTATCAACAAAAAATAGAACACAATGGAAATCTTAATTATGTGCACACCTTTTCCTCGAATTGTAGAGATTAGGACAGTGCTTTTTCTACTTGCCAATCTTCACAAATTTAGGTACTAAGGAAAAATCCCGGATAGCGCTGGGCCTTTTCTGAATTCTGGTTGCCACATTAATCTCCATCTTCACCCATGAGGGAATGAGTTTCAGTATCAGTGCTTTAAGACTTTAACAAGTATTGCAAGAAAGGTAGTATTTTGGGATCCCCCTTTGTCCAATGGCAAGTTAAGGAACCTAATGCATCAAATGTTATTTTCTTCATTGATTTTGAACCTTATTTTCACAATCAAAACAACCTAGCTGGAATAATGATGCCATATTGTATTTTGCACACTGCTTTATTTCCTGGAGGCTTTGGAGGCTAGTGCACAGTGCATCACTTAGTTACCTCTGCTCTCTCAAGGTCAGTCTTCAACATTCTTTGTCACCAGGAGAAACTTTATTACAGTGATCAAACCAGTTCATACTTTTTTGTCTTTATAGGTAACACTCAGAAATTGCTTCTACTTTGGACAAGAAGATAAATAGGTGAATTTTACTGCCTGTGAGTTTCAGGCAGCAGAGGTACCTGGCACTGAAAAGCAAAAACAAGACAGCTTTATTTCAAAAAAAACATGTGCCTCTGGTAAATTATCCATCACTTTTCTTTTAAAATGGTCCCTCAGAGAATAGTATGGCATATACAATGTGTGCTTCGTTGTAGGGCAGATGTAAATAGCTGAGGACTTCAAAGCCTGCTCTTTACTGCACTCTGGATAAGACCCTAGTCTGTGGTTTGGCTTCCTCTGCAATGTCACTCTGCAAGTAGCCCTGCCAGTTTGAATTTAGAGGCCTCATCAGTTAGATTGAAAAGACCAGGGCTGTGTTTTGGGGATTATCATGTAAAAATGTGAAGTTAGAGTGCTGCAGTTTGAAGTCTATACACTTTTTGATGACAAAATACCTGTGGAAAACCAGGGTATGTCTTCTCTCTCTCTCTCTTCCTTTCTCCTCCTCCCTCTCTCCCTCCCTCCCTCCCTTTTCCTCATCCTCCCCCTTTCTCCTCCCATTCCCTCCCCTCCTCTTTTCTAAGATTCAGGGGGTACAGAATAACCTACAACCTCTATTCAAAGTACCCTTGGAAATTAAAGTTTATCTTAAATGTTTTGTTGTCTTTAATTAGCTAGAATTGCCTGATTTTTAGTGGCTTTCTCTAGATAGCTCTGGAGGCTTAGTAGTTTATGGGCTGTTTCTCTTTTCCTGTTTCTTTGGTGTGTTTTGTGATTTTTTTTTTTCTGTTTCTGGTCATGGTTGGTAAGTAGGATTTTTTTGTGTTTGAGTTGTTTTTTGAGATACACGAGATTCTGTGTGAGAACTGCTAATCAGGCTCTTGATCTGCTTCCCTGAATTTCTTTTGGAGCTCAGACTCCAGGTGAGGGTGAGAGCTTACAGTACAAAGAAAAATTTGCATCACTTCTGCCCTCAACACTTGCCTCTGTTCCCTAAGCTTAGCAAGTAGTTTTGTTACTATTGTCCAGTGTTTGGTGTGATTGGCATTGTTTTTTGTTCTGTTTTTAACTGTGGTTGTTCTGATGTGTGAAACTTAGGAAAGAGCCATTTAAAAAATGCCGAGCAGGGCAATGCAAGTACAGCCAAATACTAGAGTTGATGTGCAATCTTAGGTTCTTTTTAATCTGAGGTATTATAGGCAGTACTTTAAATCAAAAAGTCTTCCTGGCCTATTTTCCTCCACTTTTTTGTAATTACTCTTGGGGGCTTACTTGTTTGGCAGTACAAGGAGCTGGTTCTTCTTTTCTCCCAATTCTTTTCGTATTAATCAAAGCGCCTACAACTAGCCTCTTCTATTCATACACAACAAATATCAGTGAATGTGTTACTCTTAGCACATTGAAGCATCTTTTTCGTAGGTTTAGATGAGCATGAAGACCAATGTCCCATTTTATATCTTGTTGACCTTACAAAATGCCAGTAATTTAGAATTAGGATCTCCCATCCCCCCCCCCTTAAATCAGGGAGGTTGAACTATTAATGCCAGGGTCACTTAAAGGAGGTAGATTCTGTTTTCAGTTTTTTGGGTAGTAGTAGTAGGATTCCTCCTGTGGGGAGGTTAATACTGACAAAAGTTTTTCAAATGTCGAGGAGGGGTATCTCCCTGTATTCAAAACCCTGAGGGTTTTCTGCACTTCTCCTGTTTTTTGGCCTGGATAATATCACTATCTTTATTTACAAAGGGGCAAACTGAGAGAAGCTTTTGGGTTCGAAGGTTAAGTTGTAAAGCAACCACTTATGGTCCCTTCCTTTCTATGGGAATTTGGCAGGGCTTACTAGAAAAAATTGTTGTGCTATGTAAACACTGTCACAATTAGCTGAATTTTTGAAGATGGTAAACTTTAAAAATTGCATGTTCTGAAATGTAGACTTTTAGAATGTTTTTCTTTCAAAAAAGGCTGGTTATATATTTTTTTCTTTTCCTGACAGTTGAAGTTGCAGCTCTTGTTTCAAGTTACTGTGTCACTTACTTTTCTGATTTAAGTTTCCCTTGTATTTCCACCTGTAATGTCAGTGGCTGTGACATCACACTTCATCTGTTTAAGTTTTTACCCTTAGAAGAGCAAGTTGAGTTGAACTGACTCTTCCTGTCCTACTAACTAACATTGTAGAAATAGTGGCTTTGTACAAAAGTTGTCATGCCTCCTGATGAATATAATTTTGTGATTGTATTTAAGATTAAAAATTGAATAAATCCCACCAGCTTCCTGAAAATGTTCATAATGCAGCTTTTGGAAAACAAAAACATGCCTACTTTGCATAAACATGATAAAGATTGTACAAAATATCTGTTTTTCAAAAAATAAAGGTTCAGTCTTAAAAGATGTAGCATTTAAGCTCTGAATTTATTGATCAAAGTAGATTCCAGGGAACTTGGGCAGCTTTTTTTTTTTTTAAGCACTAATTAACTCTGAAAACATTACCTTAATTTTCAAAAAAGTAATTACTCTCAATGTTCTACTTTTGAACAGCGGTAAAAATTTTGCTTTAGTGGGAAAGTTCTCAATTCTAAGGACCAATTTATTAAGCTTAATTTTTGCAATAGACAGCTGTGCATTCCTGGAGTGTGAAAGCCCTGGAGGAAAAGAGTGACCGCATAATCCCATGTGGAAAATAACACTTGTTACTGGTAGCTTTTGTTAGAAGGATTTGGTCAAATGCTTAAATCATCTGGCACATTTCAAAACATTACTTCCTTTCTGGTACCGAAAGCTCTGCGAGGAGCTGGTTTTAATAATTGGGCCACTTACAAGTTTAAGTGAGAGGCCCTCTAGAAGTCGTACAGCAGTGGGTCTGGGAGCACATTCTCCAACTGTGCTCTAGAGAAACTGGAGTCGCTTCTGTTGCTTCACCGACCTAATTTTCACAAGCTAGTGTTTAAAAGTCTTCTTAAGTTGTAGGAACTTGTGCAAAAAGCAGAAGCATTCTGCAGTAACAGCTGAGTTCCTTAAGTAAAAAAGTCTCAGTGATGCAGCAATCCTGTGGATTGGGTTCTTTTGCCCTTCTAATTTTCTTTTGAGGAGGTGAAAGAGGGCTTGCATCTCAGGTTCCACAGCTCTAAAGGCTCCTCAAATGGGATCTCTATAGTTGCATTTTAACTACACAAACTTTTCTGCCCCGACATTCCCCAAAGTGGCACTCTCCAGAGGTCTCCTTCCTTTAAAGCAAAGGCTTCCAGTAAATGTTTCTGACTGATATGCTACACCTCACCTCCAAAGACCCAAGGCAAGTTCACACCCTTTGTGAAATTCACGATGCTCCTGCCCTTGCCCACTTAACTTGGAGGCACTGCGCACACTTAACTACCTTCTCACATTTCTCCTTGATTTCCCTGGCAGTTAAGGAAAGCTTTCCAAAACGTCTAAATTCAATCCCACGATACAGGTGAGTGTACAGTAAAAGGATAAAGGATTGGCTAAAAATGATGGTTGTATCTCAAGCGTGAAGAGGCTGGTGGGCGGAATTTTGCATTGAATAATTTAAGCAGTCGTCAGTGCGTTTTGAAATCCTGGACAGAAGTACAGAAGTGTCTCAGCATACTCATCTAACTCCGAAACTGCATATGGATTCCACTGCTTCCATCTTTGCTCAGCATGAACTCTAATATAAGAAGGTCCTGCCAAAATCAGCTCCCTTTTTTTGGAGAGGGAGCTTGTAGTTTAACAGAAATGCCCTATAGACTCCATGCCAATAGCCACTTTTAAAGTCAAGTACGTTTTCCCGCGTCCTCAACCTGTGCGTTTCCGGTCCCTCCTAGCGCCGCCCAAAAGCTAAGACCTTATTCCTTTTGGGTAGGAGAGAAACAGCAAAATCCACATAAACAGGTCTTTTCCGTGCCCCCGAAACATCACGAGGTGTGCACGAGTCTTCAAATCTGGGCTGAACTGCTCAGGCTAACGCTCGGGAGCGGCTTAGCTGCCACATGTCCATCTCCCTCTCCGCCTGACCCCGCGTGGCGCATTTCGTTTCTTCGACTACTCAGTTTTACAGAGGCTCCTCTGCTGCTCTGCGATCCAGCGGGACAGGGACCGAGCGCAGCAGCGGCGACCAGCCCTGGAGACTGCGGTCAGACCGCGCCCCCGGCAGCGGCAGTTGAACGGCTTCCGGCATCCAGGGCGCGGCACGCCCCTATGGATGCTGATTGGTCAGAGTGACTCGGCCCGGTTCGGCCCTTCTCCCCTCTGACCTCTATTTCAAGTCATGCGCTGGGCAGCGATTGGGTTGGCTCGCTTTAAAGCTGAACTCGACTTGTCCAATCAGGATTGAGCTTCGCTAGGCCTGTCGGGAAAGGCGGCCGGCATATATAAGCCGTCTACGGGGCGTTCCCTCGCGTTCCGGTCGCCTTGCGGGCGGGTATCGGGTGAGAAGTGAGGTTGGGAAGCGACTTGCGCTCGCCGAGACTGCATCTCAGGGACGATGGCGGAGGGAGATAATCGCAGCACAAACCTGCTGGTGAGTCGTGACAGCCTGTCGCGAGGATAGGAGCTGGGCCTCCAGACTTCCATGGGCTAAACGGGGCGGCCCCCACGCGGGGCCCGACCGGCCTGTCCCGGGGCTTCTTCGGTATCTCCGAGGTGGCTGTCACTAGTCTTGTCGAACCCCAACGTCCCATGGGGATCATGCATGACCCGGCGAGGAGGGCGCGTGATTACTGACCACAAACAGGGTGAGGAGGTGGAGGGGGGCTGTGGCAGAAAGAAACCTGGGGTGCAGACTGGGGCCTTTGGGTCCAGGTCGCGTCGGTCTCCGGGTCCCCCTTCTTTGATGTTAACCTGAAGCGCCCTCGTTCTGTTTTCCCCTAAAACATGGGCCAGGGTGGAAGGTCAAAGGACTGCTGCCGAGAATTTGTAAGAGCTGGCGCAACCTAGAATGGCAGGGAGGCTGCGAGCTCCCCGTAGGGAACGGAGGTGGGGCTCGGCCAAGAGGATGAGGTTGGGGGGGGGGGTTGTCTTATCGTTTGTCTGGAGTTTGGAAGCCGGGCGGGGTCACAGGACGACTGCAGACCTCAGGGAAGTGCATGAGGTAGCACCATAGGCGGACACATTTAATATTGCGAATTCCACTGCACCATCTACGCAAAAACACAAGAGACGGTTGCGTTTTCAACGTTGCCCTCCCTAAGAAAAGGCAGGCTACACACTACAAATGAAAAGAGGAACCAGACTTGCATTTACAAGAGCCCAAATGCAGACAAGTTAAGTGACTTTACAGGGCAGTTTTGACTGCATGATTTTCATTGGTTTTTACAAATGTGTGACCTTTCCCCTTACACACACACACACGCACTACAGTGAGCCACTAGCATGGTTCCCTTTCTTTTTTTGGCATGGTTTCTTTTAAGAGGATTGAGACACAAGAAATTGCCCAGGTTCTGTTGAGATGACAGATCCTGACACAGAGATCCTGATCCGCAGCCCAACTATTCTCTCCAGAGTAACTTTGGGGAGAACAAGGCCTTGGTCTTGGGTTTCTTGGATTCAAATCTGTTAACCTTTGTGTGTCTCAATGTCCTCATCTGTAGAATAGAGATCGCAACACCTTTCTTTTTGAGTTTTTGGGAGGATTAATTGAAGTATAGGCATGTAAAGTACTTGGTTTCCAGCACTTAGTATATCCGTATTTAACTAGTACTAAGCCTGGGATATAAATCAGAAGTACAGAGGTCACTAGTGATAAATTTACACGGACACTTGGTCTTGTTCTAAATTTTACTTCTCCAAATCAGCTTTAGGGGGATTTTGCTGCATTAGCTCAACCTAAAGGTGTGCTTTCTGCAGCTATGCAGGGAAGTTTGAAGTCAGCCATACTCCCTCGTGAGTGAGTGATAGGGACACAGTCCTAATGACAGAATTCAGTTCTCCTTAGTTCTACTCTGAATGTCAACATCTAAGTAACTGCATTACACAAGAGCCGTTTTAGAGATTGAATATGCTGTTCCAGGAAAGCTTTTCTAATGGATTTAGAAGGGTTTAAATCAATGAAATGACAAAAACAAGAGGTCACTTCTAACCACCTAAAATGCACAAACTTATGAGATCTCATGCTATCAATACTCCTGATGTGCCCCATGACTCCGTGCATGACTTCGGGGGAAAATTTGTTAACCATTCAGAGCTCATCTTCTTTTCATTTCAAATGAGTAATTATCCTTGTGTTGTGGAAATGTGTAAGGGTTATTTTCACAGCATGGCTGCAAAAGACTAGCCCAGTGCATAGCTTGGAAGGTGACCATTAAAGGATAGGGTTCTCCCCTCTATTGCTTTCTGTCTTTGGTACCAAAATTGCAGAGGTTTTAAGAAACTAGCTTGTTTGAGATAGTGACTTGGTTAAGAAGTGTTTTATGCATTTGGTGCCTTAGAATAATTTTTACTCTCTACAAGCCGCCAAAGTGTTGAGAGTGGGAAATGATGACTTTAAATGTTGATGGTGTGTAGGCTGCAGAAACTGCAAGTCTGGAAGAGCAGCTGCAAGGATGGGGAGAGGTGATGCTGATGGCGGATAAAGTCCTCCGATGGGAAAGAGCCTGGTTTCCACCTGCCATCATGGGCGTGGTTTCTCTGGTGTTTCTGTAAGTCAGCTATTACATTACTAACACTCAGTACATACCCTCTGTTTACGGAAGTCTTTGTAATGCATAATCCCTAAAGAATACCTTTCCTTGTAAGCAATTCCCTAGTTTCCAGAATTGTAGTACTTACATAAACTTGCAACCTAATGCAGTTGAGTAAGTCAGTGACTGGAACTTTTTTGCCTCAGCACCCTTCCTTTACACTCTCAAAAAGCATTGAGGGCCCCAAAGAGCTTTTATATTTCCATTAACCATTGCAGCTCTTATAGCCTGTTAGAAAGCCTCTGAAAAACGACTTATGCAAAAAGGAGAAGGAAAACAGCAAATGCCAACTTTGAGAACTATGGACTGAGTAGATATTTAACCATTTTCCGTGAGGAATAATAATGGCTCTGTTTTTCTAACCTTGGTTAATTTTCTTTCTTTTTTAAAACAGGATTATCTATTACCTAGATCCATCTGTGCTGTCCGGTGTTTCCTGTTTTGTTATGTTTCTGTGCTTGGCTGACTACCTTGTTCCCATTCTAGCGCCTAGAATTTTTGGCTCCAATAAATGGTAGGTGGCATAATGATTTGGCAGCCTAATTTCTGAGAAGTTACTAAACTTGGTGACTGTGATTTGAGTGCTGTAATTAAGTGCAGACAATTCTGTAACCGTCAGGCACCTTGGGGTTAGATTTATTGCTTTTATGTGAAGAATTTCTTGACTGATTTCAGATATAAATCGTGAACTTCCATAGTTCTTTTATGGTCAACCATTTATTTTGACTTTTTTTTCACATTTTTTTCCTTTAGGCTTTTTATTGAAGTCAGGTTTTTGAAAGGTAATGTTTTAATAAGGATTATAGAACTCATAGTGAGCTTTGTATAAAAGTTATGGTTGAAGTGGTAGAGTCTGCCCAGCAAGTGTGAGACCTTGAGTTCAAACTCCAGTACTACCAAAAAAAATTGTATATTTACATTTGCATTGATATTTAAGGTAACATTAATTTTGCACATAATTGTTGAATGAATATGAAGACAATAACTGGTGGATTTTTTTCTACATTCATTTAACACCTTTTTATTGAATGTCTACTATGGTAGCACTGTTCTAGGTGTTAGGAAAATATTTTGACTTTTTTTAAAGTTATGATTTTATTAGCATGTAATAGTTCTGCAGGGGGATACATTGTGATATTTACATATGTGCTTAAAATATATCTTAGTTGGATTTACCCCCTCCATTATTCTCTCCCTCCTTTCCCTCCATTTTGACTTTTAAGATTGATCTTGTGATGGAGGCTGAGTTGTTGGTTTGTTGAGGCAGTGCAGTGCTCATTAGCTAAATGCATACCAATATTTTAGAAGACATTCAAGCCATGTATACAAGTGGGTTGTTAATTTCTTTGCATGATGGCTTATGAGTTCCTAAGATTATAGTTTAGTGATTAAGGCTTATATTAAAACTATTTTGACTTCCCTCTAGAGTGCTGAATTTCTCATCTTTGAGCCAAATAATGGCCATGGGTCTGCAGGTGTAGCCCAATGTTGTAGAACCCTTACCCAGCATGTACACAAGTCCTGGCTTTGATCCCTGGCACCAGGGGAGTAAAGGTGTAAATAATGAGCAAAACTAGATGCTAGGATAGATTTTTATTTTAAATTGGCTAGTATTCCATTTGTACCTTTAGTTTTTTGCTTCCAGATGATAGAAGATTATAAAATTTGGAAAAAATAAGAATCTTAAATGTGTCACTTGTCGATCTGTGGCCATAAATTCACATATTTGGAAGAGTCTGTGTAAATTATGGGCTCTGTAAGGATGCTTCTTTAAAGATTCTTTCCTCACAGAATGGATTAGTGTTAGGACCTGTCCTTCAAATTGTTTTTCACTTGCAGTAATGAATTGGTACTGTTGGGTTTTTTTGGCAAGTTTGTGACCATTCAGTGTTACAAATTTAAGGAAGGGAGTTAACCACTGACCTTGATGGTACTAGCCAGATAACATTCAACTCTGCTAATTCCTAACTCCTGATGAAAGATTTCAGAAATAAAACAGGTAAGTTCCTGGTATTCAGTAAGTAACTCGGTAATCAATAAAGCACATCTTTTTTTTTTTTTTTCTTTTTTGCCGTGCTGGGGATCAAACCCAGGGCCTTGCACACACTAGGCAAGTGCTCTACCACTGAGTTCTGCTCCCAGTCCTGATAGAGCAAATTTCATCTTTTGCATTTATGGAATGATATTAACACTGTGTTGCATAGCCATGATCTAGCCTTGACCCTGGGCCATGAGTGAGGTCTAATTGTTTAGAAGTTCCAGACTCCACAGAAATCAGACTTCATCTTTTGCCATGGTCCACCAGGCTGAGGACTAGAGGAGAGATGGCCACCGGTTCCTCAGCATGTATTTCCTTAACAGCAGCCTTGTATCTGTGCAGCAACCAGAACAGATGCTATTTGCTTTTGATCAGAAGATAGGAAAACAGCTTTCTTGGAGGGTCTTGTTGGATTTTCACTGCTGTTTTATTTTCCTGTGCTAGAACTAAATTTCTAAAGACTTGGAGTTGGCTAATTGTGGCTGTCTCGGCATCAAATGTATGAAGCCCAGTTGAAGTTATTATGCTACTCAGGAGGCAGAGATCAGGAGGATTTCTGTTCAAAGCCAGACCTGGGCAAATAGTTCTTGAGACCCTATCTCAAAAAACAAAAACAAAAAAGGGCTGGTAGAGTGGCTTAAATGGTAGAGAACCACAAACAGGGTTGGAGGTGTGGTTCAAATGGCAAAGCATCTGCCTAGAAAGCACAGAGTTCAAATGCCTTAACATCACCGCCCCCCCACCCACCCAACCGCCACCCAAATAAAAATTCTTGGGCTGGGGATATAAGTCAGTGACAAGAGCATTTAGCCTGTTCAAACCCCAGTGCTGCCAAAAAAAGAAAAAATCAAATTTGCACTGATTTCTGCATGGCCCTGAGTCTTTGTTACTATTATTGTTAGCCAAGTGTAGTTTTAGAGCTACGATTACCATTAATCTACTTGAAATGATCTATGCATGCTGTAAACTGTGTCTTAAAGGTATAAGTGCTTTTACCTGCATAGATAATGGTGAACCATTATTTTTCATTTTGAGTCTTTTTAGAAAATAGCTCTTTTAGGGCTGGGGTTGTAGCTCAGTAGTAATGTGCTTGCCTGGCATCACCAGACCAAAGAAAAGATGGCTTTTTAAAATTAAGAGGGGTTTATTTCTGTTTACTCTTATATTTCTATTTACTCTCCTTATAACAAAAGGGGAAATTCTTTGTCTAGGACCACTGAACAACAGCAAAGATTCCATGAAATCTGCAGCAATCTAGTGAAAACCCGGCGCAGAGCTGTGGGCTGGTGGAAACGCCTCTTTACACTGAAGGAGGAAAAACCAAAAATGGTATTTTTTTGCTAAGATTGGGTTTGACAGTTACAGTTTGCTGTTTTTTACTACCCACTGCTGTAGCCCCTAAGTACATTCATAAATAGTTAGCTGCATGGAGTGGCTAAAACCCATACTCAGGAGGCTGAGGCAGGAAGAATTTGAGGCCAGCCTGGCTAAATAGAAAGATCATGTCTTTTCCTGTAGTAGATAGAATCATTGAAAGTTAAAAAATATACTTTACATTAAATTTCTTAGAGAAGTTTTTGTTTCTTTTTCTTCCTAAAGTAAAAGATGTATGTTTAAAAAATGCTTATTATCTTCAAAACATGATGTTCTGAAATTATTACTTGGAAAAGTAGCACAGTCAACATTGTAAAACATTTGGACTCGACAGTACTTCTAAGAGGAAATGGATCCAAATTCTATAAAATAGACTTGATATGGAAACTTTTTTTAAAATAGCCTTTGTAAAACAGGTAGATTTTTAAATCGAGTATTTTTAAAGAAAAGTCATAATACAAGCCAAATTATTTTCCAGCATTTGAAGCAGTTTTTCTTTTTTTAATTGACAAAAGGTGTTTGTGTTTATGACTTACCACACGAGGTTTTGCTGTCTGTCCTCATTGTAGAATGGTGGAAGTCTTAGTCCCCTGTTAGCCTGTTTCTAGGAGCTGACCAGTCCTTGTGTTCATTGTTAGTACTTCATGACCATGATCGTCTCTCTTGCTGCGGTTGCCTGGGTGGGACAGCAAGTCCACAACCTCCTCCTGACCTACCTGATCGGTAAGTCTTTGGGGAAAACTACAGCCTGTCCTCGCCATCCTGGCCAGTGAAGTTGAACTGTAGCCTGGTCAAAAAACATTCAAATACCCAGGAAGTATAAGGTGCTTATGAAGGAACTTGGGAAGGACAGAAAGGGGATGAGGCTTGGGACCTGGCTGTCAGGGAGTTAATGTCTGACCAGAAGTGAAGACCAAGAGCCCAGTGACCAAGGCAGAAAGTAGTGTGTGACAGGCTAAAGGAAGCAGTGATTTGTGTGAGGTGGGGTGGGGTGCAGGATAGCAGGAGTTTCTGGGGATAAATTCCAATGGAAGTAATGATTTCCTCTTGCCTTCTTCCTGTTAGAGACTAATAAATAGTCTGGAAGTTCATCGCTGCCTCCTTAATTCTGTTTGTTTGTTTATTTATTTTAAGTGACTTTTTCTCTGTTGCTTCCTGGACTAAACCAACATGGCATCATTTCGAAGTACATTGGAATGGCCAAGAGGGAGATCAACAAACTTCTCAAACAAAAAGAGAAGAAAAATGAATAATGCACCTGCTTTGTTCAGTGAGGGTAATGGAGCCTGCATTGCCCGGAACAGTTTCTACTGTGCTGTCTGGATACTGAAGTGGCATGCATAGCTCCTTGCTTTCCCTCACTCTGTCTGCCCTTAGGTAATAGTATTTTTCACTTGCCAGGTATGGCTTTGTGCATAGCGTCTTCAAGTCAAGTGTAGCTGGGTGCATTCTCTTAAATGGACAACTTATTAGTGAGTATGACTTGTTTTGATTTTTCTCACCCAGGGTTAATTGAAATTTTATTTTTAACAGCTTTCTTTAAAATAATCCAGTGGAGAACTTTATTCTTTAGTACAGTTAACAGTGACTTTGGATAATCCTTTGAGTTGATATTTGCTTTAGCTGCATACAGGGTAGTGGTCTATGGCTACAGGAAGCTGGTTCTACCATCTGCTTCCATAAAACCGGCTTCAAAAACTATCTGAAATAGAAGCCAAGTTTACTACTTCTGATGGAGAGACCAGTTGAAATCCATTCCTCATTGTTTCTTGACCGTGGGAGGGATTTCCCATGGAATAAAATGAAACTAATTCCATGCTGTAGTGTGTGTAGGTTTCTCTCTTGTGCAAAACTTAGCAATTTCTAGGAAGCATGAGTCCCTTGTCCCACTTGGGGAATCTGACAGGCTTAGAGCTCTTGTTCCCTGACATTACTTCAAGTTAGTAAGTCCTTAAGGGCGTTTGAATAGCATACTTCCAAAAAATCATAGGGAGGACTTTTAGCATATTTCTCATTTCAGATTTCCAGCTGACTTCAAGTACACAATAGGTTCAAACACACATGACCTTTACTCCAAGACCAACGAGTAAGGGGCAGAAGTCTTCTATGCCTAGTCAAGACTCATTGCAGCAGAAAATAAAATAACCTTTTTCTCAAGTTTTAAGACCAGAAAAAGCCTCCAGGAATAAGCCTGAGAAAATCCCCCTTTTGGGGTAACACCGGCTACATTTCAGTTTGCATTGGAGACTGTACTTCCCCTTGATGTTTCTCAGAAAAAAAATGCAAGGGCTGCTGGTCGGAGCAGACTTGGGCTAGTTGGCCTCTGGTCTGCATGGGTTTTGTAACTCTTTGGAAAGCTGCTTATCACTCTTTTTCCCTCTTTGTAGCTAGAAACTTAAGAGTAGTTGAAATTTGTAGGATTAAACCTCCAAGGGCCAAAAATGTGATGTACTTGGGAGCAGTTGTTAAACTGACCGGCTGTAAGATAGTTCTGTGGATTTACTGCACTGGTGCTTAGACCCTGTACCTAGTGAGTGTTTCCTGCCCTTCCGTATTGCTGTAAACAGTGGCGCCCATTGCACTTGTGTTTGATTTGTTTTTTTAATGTTTCCTATGATAACTACCTTAATTTTACATGTTTCCTCATTGTAAATAAGCCTGTCTTCCTATCTGGGTTTTTTTGTGAATACTTGTTCTACCAATTAACTACTTTGGCAGTTTTAAACCTGTATTTCTTCTATTTTGTTTTGTGTAAAAGGGGAAAAATTAAAAAAAGCTGGAATCTATCCTTGTGTCTCACTTTTTTGTGATTTAGCCAATCTAATGTTTATCTGATTAGATTCACGGAGGCAATTACTAGCTGCCCTCTGTGACATTGCACCCCTCTAAGGTACTCTTAAGAACAAACAGAAGCTAGGCACCAGTGGCTCACGCCTGTAATCCTAGCTACTCAGGAGGCAGGGATCAGGAGGATCAAGGTTTGAAGCCAGCCTGGGAAAATAGTTCTTGAGACCCTATTTTGAAAATACCCAACAAAAAAAAGGCTAGCAGAATGGCTCAAGATATAGGCCCTGAGTTCAAACCCCAATAGCGCCAAAAAAAGGACAAATGGAAATAAATTGTTTACATTTATTCACTCAGGAAACACCCAGGCACAATACTAGAAGGAAGAGGAAAAAGTGAGTAAGGGGGCCAAAATACAGTGTGGCCAGCTGGAAGGACAGGCAGGAACAGTGGAGGCCTGACAGCATGAACAGGGCACCTGTTCCCTAGGGCTTTGCTCTGGGTGCCTTTTGGCTGCCCTTTACTTTTCTTGAACTCAAATTGGATGTGTTATCATTGGGTCTCGGTGGGAACAGATCCCATAGCAAATGAAACCCCAAAGAGCTCCTCCCCCACAAAGACTGGATCCTCCTCTGGAGAATCTGGAGTTGGGTGACTCGCTCAGCACAGGGTCATCCCAAGCCTCTTCGTGGTGCCTAAGGCTTAGAAACCCTGGGCTTTACCATGCAGCCGTGACTACTGCTCAGGGCAGCCTCACCTGACTGGCTTCCTGGACCAGCTCAGCTCCTGCAAGGCCAGACTCTGGCAGGGCTACCCTGTGCCAGCTCTGGCCACAGCAAAAGTCACTTTTCCAGATTTGCCCTGATCTGCCTCTAGCAATGTCCTGCCTTTCAGTGTGCATACAGGACCCCACTGATGAGCGCCCCTCTGCCCCATGGGATTTGGGAGTTTTTTAGGGGATTTAATGCCAACACCTTACCTTCATATGTTACTATTTTCTTTTGGTGATGCTGGGATTTGAACTCAGGGCCTCATGCTCGCTGTGTGCCATCTTTGTTTTGTATTGGTATTTTCGAGATAGGGTCTCATGAACTGTTTGCCTAAGATGGCTTCAACCTGAGATCCTCCTGATAATCTGCCTCCTGAGTAGCTAGGATTACAGGCATGAGCCACCTGCGCCCCATTTGTTACAATTTCTTTTCACTCAGGTCATGGTCAAATCCACTTTCAGGACCTCTCAGCAGGTTCCAGTTTGCCTACGACAAAACTCACACACTTGTGGGATGGTTCTTTGCTTGCTTGTTTGGTTGTGGGACTTGGCTTCACTCTTGCAAAGCAGGCACTCTACAGCTTGAGCCACACCTTCAGTTCATTTTGCTGTGGTTACTTTGGAGACAGGGGTCTCATAAGCTTTTTGCCTGGGCTGGCCTTGAACTGTGATCATCTCGATTTCAGCCTCCCAGGTAGCTAGGATTACAGGCATGAGCCACCGTTCCTGGCATGGATGGTTTCTTGAATAGGACTCTGCTCCATTTCCATTCCGGCCATTCTGAATTCCCTATCCAGCTCTCCAGTTCCAGGCCCCCTAGCTCTTTTTTTGTTAAGAGTACAGTTGCAATAAGTTTAGAATATTTACTATCCCCACACATGCTTTGAGATCATGTGGATTTACAAGCTCCAAATCCCCACCAGGTAATTTAGTAATTTAGACAAATTCAGTAACTTACTTTTTCTTAGCAATACTGGGGTTTGTACTCAGGGCTTCCCACTGCTTGAGCCACTCCCCAGCCCTTTTGGCTTATTTTTCAGATAGGGTCTCCTGTTTTTGCCCAGTGATAGCCTTACACTGATCCTCCTACCTATGTAGCTGGGACTATATATGTGTGCTCCACCATACCTGGCTTACTGATTGAGATGATTGTTTTTTTTTTTTTTTCCTAGGGCTGGTCAGCCTCACCTGACTGGCTTGAATCTCAATCCTCCCAATCTACCTCCTCAGAAGTTGGGATTACAGGTGTGAACCACCAACACCAGCCCTTTGCTTTGACTTTTAGAGCAAAAATTTAAGATTGGTTCAATTCAATTTAAGATAGTACTCATTGGGAGGAAGAAGCAGGATTGCTCCTTAGGCAAAAGTAAGCAAGACTCTTATCTCAAAAACAAACTGGGTATGATGGCAAAGGCTTGTAATCTCAGCTACTTGGGAGGAAGAGGCTGGAGGACAGTGGTTTAAGGCCAGCCTGGGCAAAAGCATGAGACCCTACCTGAAAAACAAACTGAATCCACAATGATGGGTGGTGAGGACTGTGACTCAAATGCAGGCCCTGAGTTCAATTTCCAGTACTGCAAAATAAAATTTAAAACCAAATGGTAGCTGGACACTGGTGGCTCATGCCTGTAATCCTAGCTACTGAAGGTGTAGGCCCTGAGTTCAAACCCCAGTACTGCTAAATAAATAAACACAAAACGATTTTTTTAATTAAATTTTTTCAGTAACTACAACTGGCTGTAAGCGTACAGGAAGCCAGTATTCAAGAGAACGTTCATTAAAAAAAGCAATGTGCTGGGTATGGCAGTGCACACTATAATCCCAGCAGGAGTTGGAAGCTCTGCTTTTGTGAAGGTTCACCTGTGATGTCAGAGCAGTGAGAATGGATGTGGTAGGCTGAGATGGTACACTAACAACCACATTGAGCACTCACCTCTGGGGTTTGTGTTCATCTCTCACCCTCACAGAAGCTGCCTTGGAGAGACTACTGCAAATAATTCAGAGGATAAGTAACTTGTTCCAGGTCACTCAGTGCCAGAGAAGGAGGAGCCAGAATTCCCTTCCCTCCAGGTGACCAGACTTTGGGTCCCAGGCTGTACCCACAGCCCCCAACTCCATGCTCCTTCTAGAACCTTTTTTTTAAGCAGCACTGGGGTTTGAACTCAGGGCCTCACACTTGCTAGGCAGGCGCTCTACCACTTGAGCCACTCCTCCCTCCTTTTTTTTTGTGTTGGGTATTTTCAAGATAGGGTCTTGCAAACTATTTGTCCGGGCTGGCTTGGAACCACAAATCCGCCTGATCTCTGCCTCCTGAATAGCTAAGATTACAGGCGTGAGCCGCTGGCAGTTCACAGTCAAGTTATAGTGAGTATCTACTATGTGTGTGCCAGAGGTCATGCAAGCCCTTTGTCACCATTGCCTCATCTGATCCTCACCACACATTTAAGAGACAGGTGCTACCATTGTCCTTGCTACTGTTATTACTACTATTATTTTACCCCAGCTATATCTGGGGAAGGTTCAGAGGAAGATAACTAGCCCAAACAGGTCCCTGTCCAATGCAAATTAATTCTGAGAAATTAATTTAGAGAAATGCCACTAGCTCAGAATCCTGTGTGTGTGCTCAGAAACATTTATGGCTTTCTAACAAATCGTGTACCCTGGAACTGGGGGGAAAAATTTAAAAACCCGTCTGGACCCCCAATAAATAATTTCTAAGAATGGGGAGAGTGAAAAAGAAGTTATCAATTAAAAACACATATTTAAATGCTTTGATAAGGTAATATATACACATCTCTCAAAAAACCAAAGCCAGGAGCCAGCGGCTCACACCTGTAATCCTAGGTACTTGGGAGGCTGAGGTCGGTCGGATCGCGGTTCGAATCCAGCCTGGGCAATAGTTCGCGAGACCCTCCCCTGCCCCCCAATCTCCAAAATAACCAGAGCAAAATGGACTGGAGTTGTAGCTTAAGTGATAGAGCTTCCCATTCCAGTTTCTAACGCCCTCCCCGGAAGCAATGACCAGCTTCTGCAGAAATACCTATGTATCAAAATTAATTCTGAATGGTGAATGGTGAACTGTGATCGCAATAAAACTTAGCAGAATTTGTTATCTTTTAAAATTTTTAGATATTAAGTGCTAAAAGGTAGCGGAATTTCCAACTAATCCCTCACTTTAAGCCCCGCCCCCTGGCTTTACCTGGGGCCAGGGGTACCGATGCCATCGATGCTCAACTGCCAATCCTGGAGAAGCTCCGCCCCTACATTCCTTTCCCTTCCCCAGTGTTACATTGAAAGTCTCGCGATAGCCCGGCCGCTTCCCATAACTCCGTGCGCTCGCCCTCCCCTTCCCTTTTCCGCCATCTTTCCTTGCCGGTGAGTGACTCTCTCAGAGGGTTCCAACTTTATCCGTCGGCTATCCGCGCCATCCTTAGGTCTCAGGTCCGGCTTTTGTGTCCTGCGAGGATGCCGGGACTTCTCCAGGCCGGGGGTCCTGGACTTTCGGGGACTTGGGCAGTCGTAGGGAGGCGCCATGCCCGGGTGCTCCACGCTCTGCACCCAGGGGATCCCGGCCCGAGGGCTGTAGGCCGCAGCGCTGGCGGGAGGCGGTGGCGGCGGCCTGGCCCCGGCGGGCGGGAAGCTTGGGGGACGGTGGCCCGGCAGGGTCCTTGTTGCCGCGGCCGCGCTGGGAGCCGGGGAGCCTGGGGTCTGACCTGGGACCTTCTGGGCTTTGGTGTTTCTATCAGACTCTAGGTGAGACTGAGCAGGGTGAGTCTTCGGCTTGGTCTCCATCCTTCTGAGTTCGAGGAACTTTGTTAGTGTGTCTTGGAGCTGGTGGCCATTGGAAAAGCCCAGTCTGTGGCCATGTGAGATATGGTGCATATGTCATTGGAGTGTGCACACTTCGGGATGATACAAGGACGGACGGCTTAGCTGGAAGTGGAGTCTTCGGGATGTTAGAGCAGGGCGGGAAAGGAATTGACAGTGTCAGCAGTCCGGATACTGCTGATTTTTAAAGACCTGGGTGACATTGCTGGCGATTCTCAATAACTGATGTTTTCGTATGGGTAGCAGTCGATGCTGAAGCATTGCGCCTAGTGGATTTTGTCACCTCCGGTATTCCTGTGCTGCGGGATTTGTGGCCCATGATTGATAAATGAGTTCTAGATCCAGGCTGACGGGACGACCGCATGATTTCAGGAGCGATGGCGTCTTGGGTGGGTGCTGGGAAGAGAAAGATTACAATGGAAAGATTGGGTCTTGTCGATGTTGACCATAACCGGTCTTGTGTTTCCTGAACAGCCATCATGGTGCGCATGAACGTCCTGGCAGATGCTCTCAAGAGCATCAACAATGCTGAGAAGAGAGGCAAACGCCAGGTCCTCATTAGGCCATGCTCCAAAGTCATTGTCCGCTTTCTGACGGTGATGATGAAGCATGGTAAGTGTATAATTGTGCCTTTTTGCTCTGGTGGGACTGAGGTTTGAACTCAGGCTTTGCTCCACTGCTTAAGCCACATTTTGCTCTGGTTATTTTGGAGATGGGAGTCTTGAGAACTTTTTGCCCTGGCTGCCCTCAACCTCTGATCCTCCTGCCTCCCAAGTCGCTAGAATTACAGGCATGAGGCACCTGGCTTATAATTGTGGTTTGATTTCATGTCAGGCTGTAGAAACTAATAGGGGGTACAAAGTGTCATACATGGGAACAAGTGTACTTGATTTGTGGGTCTCTGGAGGAGAGGGTAGTTTCTACAAATGGAACTGCTGAAGAATGACTTAGTAGGACTGTTAAGATCGAGCTGGGAGCTAAATAACACAAATCATTGCAAGGCAGGGCTCCTGAGCTCCTTTAAAAAGAGGTTCTGGTTGGCAAAGAAGAGTGTTGGTTTGTCTTTGATACAAGCTAGCCTTTGGGAATGGGCAGCTGTGAAGAGGCAAGGAGAAAGTAATCCCTTTTAGGTGTTGATCCCAATATTTTACCTAATGCAGGGATGTGAAATTAGTTCTGCTAACAACTGTGTTTCCCCAAACCACTTACTTAGTGTGATGTAGAGAAGAATCCAGTAGGCAAAAGCAGGGGTATGGGAGAGGCAGCAAGACTCTGGTCTTACGTTGAAGTCCTTCATGTCACAGTCACTTATGTTCTGTAGGTTATATTGGCGAATTTGAGATCATTGATGATCACAGAGCTGGGAAGATTGTGGTGAACCTCACAGGCAGGTTGAACAAGGTAAGAGTTGATGCTTCTCTAACATGGAAGTTTTTTGCAAGTCCTGAATAGTGCTGCTTTAGAGACGGGAATTTGTTTTAAGTCATTTCTCATACCACATTTAATTTGTTCTCTGGGATTGTTTGCTCCAGGCTTGTCAGTTTTGTGTGGGGAATAAGCTGTATGAAAAGTGGTGGTACTGGAATTGGATTCTTGGATGTCTTCTACCCACTTGTGGCTTGAACTTGACTGGCTTAGCTGCTAAGCCTCTCAATCAATATACCTTGTCAGATACCTTGTCTTTGTTCTTTTGATGATGTGTTGGGTTTTTTTGAATGGGATCTTTTTATCTTAAATGGGGTTCTCTAAATACCAATCTCAGTAATTGATCTGCTTTTGTTGCCATAGGATTTAGCTGTGTTTTTGAGGTATGATCTGTCTTGGTGGAAAGGGGGTGTTATTGTTGAGGCAGGGTCTTAAAGCCCTGGGTGGCCTTGAACTCAGCCTCCAGAGTGCTGAGATAACAGGTGTATATCACCACACTTGGCTGGGCTGCTTTCTGATTTGCCATCAACATAACCACATAGACGTATTTTAATTCTGACCTTTGTGGTTTTACTGATTCCTTGTGTGGAGGCAGGATGCTATGTGTGCTTTCCTTGTTGAGGCCTCTAGCTTTCAGATTTGGAGGGAGTTTGAGATGGGGAAAACACCCAGAAAGTAAGTGACTAGTGGCAGTGGCTGGATTGATAAAGTGATTTCCTTGGCCATCAGTTTCCACTTTACAAAGTTGCTTCCCTGTATAGCAACCTCACTGAACCTGAAGTCTTTGTGAAGAGTTAGGAGAAATTGCAAGGCTAATTTTGAGTCTATCCTGTTGTAGTTGTAGGCATTAGAACCCAGCCGACTGACTGCAAAGCACACTTTAGGTTTGCCAACCATTCTTACCCTGATCCTCACAGTGTGTTTTCAAAGTGGAAGTGGGGGGGGGGGCTGGAAATGTAGCACAGTAGTAGAGTCGTTGTCTGGCATGTGCAGGCCCTGAGTTCCAAAGAACAAAGTGGGAGAGGGTGACTGAGTTTTGAGGAGTTTTCCCCTTGTTTTAGGAACTTGGAAGCTCAGGTTTTTAGTAAACTAGGGCACTGGAGCAGTACTGCTCTGCAGAAGATTGAGTTGATGTATGACTTTGAGCAAAACAAGCTTCTTGAATTTTTCAGTTTTTCTCAACTTGGCTTTCCCTTTTATAAGAGGGTTCCTCTATGTCCCTTGAGTAAGAGATGGTCCTATGTATCCATGCTATGGAAATAGTTATGGAGTCAGAGAGTGGGGAAATGTTTAGACTAGATTTGGGGCTGGGGACATGGTTCAGGTGGTGGGTCCTGAGTTCAAACCCAAATACTGCCAGAAAAAAAAATTTGTTAAAACCTTGCCCGTCGTCCCACCCTCTTTAGAATTGCTATGGGTCAGGAGAGGGTTTGCTGATTGAGTTCTCTCTAGATGAGTTTTCACAGCTGTGAAAGAGGCCTGGGTGCTGAGTGTAATGAGGAATTTAGAAAGGTCTTTGTGGTATGTTTGGAGTAAGCTGATTGTCCCTTTAGCCCTATCCTGTATTCCTTCCGTTGGGCTTGTTCTTGGCTGTATTCAGTGACAGCATAGCTGACAGGATGGGTAACAGTAGATGCACAGGGACCTGAGTAGGTTCACGGAGCAGTTGGATGAATGGGTCACAAAGGCATGGCCATTTTTAGGTTCTTTGGATTCAGATCTCTGCCTGAGGGAGTGCAGTAACCTAGAACTGCTTCAGGAAGTTCAGGAAGTTCTAGCTTCATAGTCCCTTCTGTAATGTGGGTACTGGCTGGCATGGATGTGCACTCAACAGCATTCTACCAGCTACCTCAGCTCTCTGGAGTTTGCACTGGTGTGGGAAGGTAGTAATTAGTCTTCTTTTGGTGGCCTGGGGCTGGCTTTGAACCATAATCCCGATCTCTGCCTCCCGAGTGGCTAGTTTTATAGGCGTGAGCTACTGGCTCACAATTTCTCGTGGATCAACAGTAGGGGACCTTTCTGCAATGAGTTCATAAGTGTAACAGTGATTTGTAGAGCAGGTTTTGTGGGTGTTGGAACATAGAGTGTTATAAAATTTGTATATGTGAGTGAGTTTCTTGAAGAGTGCTTATTGTGGAAGATGGTTGTTGCTGTGTCCTAGTAGCAAAGAGGTGGGATAATTGTAAGAACTGTGCTCTTCCTGCCTTACATGTTCTTCCAGATTAGTTTGGGAGCTACAAGTTTGACTCCAGTCTTATAAGTGAGTTGGTCTCAGCTCTGGGACAGCTCTCCACCTCTGATAGGCTATTGAGTTGAGTGCCATCTTGTGTTCCTTAGTGGTTTTTGTTTTTGGTGAAATGTGAACAATTTAATCTTTTTAATTTCCTTTTAGTGTGGAGTGATCAGCCCCAGATTTGATGTGCAACTCAAAGATCTAGAAAAATGGCAGAATAATCTGCTTCCGTCTCGTCAGTTTGGGTGAGTTGGCTTTCCTCAAATAAAAAAGGCTAATACAGTGAATTGCTGTCATGTAATTTGACTTCAACTGAGATTTCGTTGCTTTTTTTGCAGTAGTAGTTACCTGTTTCCAGTCAGCTTGACTTGGAAATTAGCTCAAGTATTAGACTTCAGGTTCTGAGAAGCACATGAGAGTGAGACAGTAGCAGAATTTTGTCTGCCTTCATGTCTGCTCACTGCATCCAGCATAGTTCCCATTGTGTGTTCTCTGACAGATTCGATTACTGGACCCCACACTTTGGAGGAAACAGTGCTGGAAAATTTTGAGTTCAAATTCTTGTTTTCCCACATGAGAGCAATGAGACCTTGAGGAAGTCATAGCCTTGATTTCTTTCCTCATCGGTGAAATCCCCTGCTTACTTCTGTAAAGCTCTCTAGACCTCAGATGGTGAATAAATGCTCATCATTGAGGTTAGGAACTGTGTCCCCAGTGTGCTTGGTGAGTGGTTGAATATGTTCTTATCTCATAGTTACTGTACTGCAGGTACAGTATTCTCTTAGGGAAATCAGTTGTGCTTGTGATTACAATGCTGATTTTAGTGCCCCACAGTTGTATATGCCACCTAACACGTTATCCTGTCCCCAGCCACGGGGCAGCCAGATTGTATCCACTAATGACTAGTAGTTCCCTGTCATTTTATATATATATATATATATATATATATATATATATATAGTAAGTGGTAGTGGTAGAATCATAGTTCAGACTCAGATTACCTGAATACTTGGTACTTGAGTGTTTTAAACTCCATATCTCCTTAACTGAGAGCTGACAGTGACATGTTGAAGTTAAAAGAGATTCCCTTGCCTTCGATTTCAGGTAAGCTTAACTTCCCAGTGTTAGAGGTCAGGCTTGTCAGTGTGTGTGGCTGGAGTCTGGACATGGGTCTTTTGTTCTGGGAATTGTGCCCTTGCACAGCCAGCTCATGTAGGCAGTGTCAGTCCTTGTGTGCCTTACAGGAGGGGAAGGTGAGCTTCAGCACTAGGGAGGAGGTGGTTTTCAGCAGAAAGCAGCTGTTTGCTGAATTGTTAAACTCATCAGTATGTTTCTTTTCCACTCCATAGTTTCATTGTATTGACAACCTCAGCTGGCATCATGGACCATGAAGAAGCAAGACGAAAACACACAGGAGGGAAAATCCTGGGATTCTTTTTCTAGGGATGTAAAGTATACAAATAAAATGCCTCAATGGACTCTGGCTTCCGCTTGGTTGTTGTGAGCCTTTGCCGCAGTACAGCAAGAGTGTTTGGCAGTGCACAGCCATTGTGTTAATGGGTGATTCTGTTTCCCTGTATAAGACCACACTACCCATGTGTCTCCGCAGAGGATGGCGCCTGGCCTAGGGATGTGGATCTGGGTTATAGTCCAGGTTCTGGAGCCTGTGTAGCTTGACAAGACATGCCATGCACTGTTGTAAATATTCCTAGAACATGTTACAGTTCCTTGCTGTGAAAGTGCTCATGAGGAAGCAGGTAGCTAGGCCCACAACTCAACAGGCTCTTCTCATAGTAGACTTGGATGCATGTCAGTAACATTCTAGTGGTATGTTTGTAAAATGGTCACTTTTTTAAACCTCTTGACTTACTGTAAACCTGTCACACGATGGGGAATGTGACTCATTTAGTTCTGCCTGCAACTAGTAAACAGGGTCATCAGTGATAACTGTCTTTGCACTTGATCAGTTTTAGAACTGCAGGAGTAAAACTTATTTTCAGTTTGTCAGAAATGGTAAAGATTTCAGGTGTTGATATAAAAAGTAGGGCTTTGTATTTGTAGGAAGTATTTGAAATTTATGTCTTTGCACTAATTTACACTTGGACATCTTTTTGGGCATTGGTCACTGTCTCGTGTTAGTCATTGCTGGCTGGACTTGTGCCTGTGGATCTGCCAAGGTGAAGCACCTGCACAGCTGCATTTGCCATGCCTGGGAGAGAGCAGGGCAGTTCACAGCCTAGCTTTAGAACAGTGGCAGTGACAACTTCCTCAGTGGTCCCCTGGTCTGTGGGCCACAAGGGGTAGGGCTGGGCTTGCTGCTGGATTGCAGTGGACAGGCAGGTGTCAAGAACTCTTGCCAAGATTTGAATTTTCAGAAAGAGAAGTTTCACTTCATTTTGCTTTTTTTTTTGTCTTGTACTGGGACTTGAATTTGGTCTACCACTTGAGCCACAACCCCAGCCCCTTTTTGTGTTGAGTATTTTCAAGATAGGGTCTCAAAGCTATTTGCCCAGGCTTCAAATTATCCTCCTGATACCAGCCTCGTGAGTAGCTAGGATTACAGGCATGAGCCACAAGCATCTGGGTCCGTTAGGCTTCTTTAAAGGCTATACCTCTGGTGGGTCAAGTAGTCCCTCCTGCTGCCCTCCCTTTGTTTAGAAAGGGGTTCAATATTCAAGTTGCCTGATAACACAGGTGTGTGTTAACCCTAGCAGGATGGCTGTGTGAGGGGCCAGGAGAAGAGGTTCTGGGGAAATGAGTGTTTTCTAGTTCTGACAAATCTACGTGTAAACAAGATTTAAGTATAAGTTGGCAAAGTTGTTTCTCTTGTTCTGTAAGTGTCTGAATTTCCATTGCAAGCTTTCCTCTGAAGACCTTTCTGTGTTTCAGCTGGCTTACTTGGAATCGGGAAGAGTTTGCAGGACTCACCAGAGCATACAGTGTGGACAGAAGTATTTGCTGAGGAGCAGCACAAGGACCTCAGTCTTGCTTTTTTCCAGATTTGCCAAGAGGATGAAATGTACTTTATTTGAGTCATGTGTGTTTAAACTGGTATCACAAGGCTCAGTCTATTACCAGTGATGTAAAGAAAGCTGGAACAACCCATACGAGGTTTTGCTAAGGCTTAAGAGAACTCGGGCAAGCTTGGGAAACTGCCATGTGTTGGCTATTTACAGAGAGCCCATCTAACTGTAAAACGTCCATATTACGGTGCACAGAGGGTGAGTTTTGAGACCGGCTTGGGCTGCAAAGCCGTAAGTTCAAACACCAGTAACATTAAAGAAAAATGGCCTGGATGTGGTGGCTAGTGCTGTAATTCCTGTCACGTGGGAGGCACAGGTAGGAGGATTGTGGTCTGAGGCCAACCTGAGCAAGAGGTTGAGACCCTGTCTGAAAAATAACCTAAAAACAACAAAGGATTGTGAGGCCCAGAGTTCAAACCCCAGTACTGCCAAAAGAAAAAAGCAACCCTGCTCTCCACCAAAACCCACTTAGCATTTTGGATAAGTGCAGTATTTTGGTTAAAAATGCAGGTTGGGGAGTCCAACAGACCAGAATTCAGGTGTGTTCTGTATTCTTCACTTAATAGCCTCAGTTTCCTTATCTGCATTGAGAATCCTGGAAAGGCTTCCTCATGCCTAGGGTGGAAATTGTGTGGAGCATGCTCCCTGAGCACTTGACCATCCATGGTATCAGTTTTTGTTGGGCACAGGTGAAGGGGGAGTCCAGGAGAATCTGCAATGAGTTACAGGTTTCTCTTCACAGCCAAGCTTGTAAATTGTAGGATAAAACAGGTGGTGCTTGTTTTATTGCATTTCTGGTCCTTAGTCTGGTGCCTGGGACAGAGGGATGTTGACTGTACTGTCAAACTTCTTTCTGGGCTTGACTTTATTTTACCCAGCTGGGGAAATGAAAATGGTAGGCACATTGACCACTACCATTTTGTGGGGGTTCTGTGTCCTTTGAAGTGGTTGGGAGAGGGAAGCTGAGTAGGAAGAAAGTGACCACTTGATGGGTTTAACAACACTTTCTTGACAAGGAAGAAGATGGCCTGAGCCCATGGTTTTGCCATGGGCAAGGCTTGAAGGTCAGGAGAGTGGATGCCTGCACAAAATGACTGCTCAGATGATCCATAGAATCCAGGCCCAGGAGGGCACTTTTGAGTCATTGTATTAAGAGGGGACCCAGCACCTACCTTGTCCAGGGGTTCTCAGCATGGGCCCCACAGACAAGAGATGCAGTGCTCTTCATGAGTACATGAAAATTCAGTACTTGTGCACAGAGGCTTTTTCATCAGCCCCATACAGTGGGTGCTAAGTGTTTGAGAGGCTGTTCAGCCAACCTCAGGGTGACGAGACAGCTAGAGGAGTTGTAGACCTGAAAGTTGGCTTTTGGCTCCTAGCATGGGAGACCTACTCAATCTCACCTGGCTTTTCTGATCCAGCTTCCAAAAACACACCTCCCCATCCTCCATTTTCTACTCACCCACGCTTGTACCACTTAGCTTTTGCACACGGTTCCCTTCACCTGAGAGATGTTACCTGAGAGCCCTCAAACTCTGCTCTCAAGAGTTACCTCTGCTACAAGTCGGCTTCCAAAAGGAACGTGTGTTTTTAGACTTTATCTTATCTCCTAAAAATGTGATGCCCGAAGACCAGTGACAGTTTGCAGTGTTTATGTCCTGTGCTGCTATAATACAATACCAGACCAGATAATGACAGAAGGGAGTTGACCTTTCACTGCCCTGGAGGGCTCCCAGAGGCTTGGTGTCTGTCTCCTACTTTCTGAGCTTTGCATCCTCCCCAGGGAAGGAGTGCTGTCCTCAAGAGATGAAAGTGGAGTTCCCACTACAGAGCAAGAGCCCAGACTTGCTCTTTAATGGAGGTGCCTGCTAAAGGTTGCAGCCCTGGTGGCCTAATCGTAATCTTAATTGTATTAAGAAGTCCCACCTCTTCAATTTCAACAGATGCTTTGGAGGGAAAAATCATTCAGACCATAGCACCAGACATGGAGCCGTCACGGATACCATACCCTGCTCTGGCTTTGAGAAAATGAAGTGCAGATTTTTGAAGTTACTTGTCTAAGATGCTAGGAAGTGGGAGAGCCAGAATTTAAAGGCTTTTAGGGACTGGAGGCACAGATAAGGGGTAGAGTGCCTGCCCAGCAAGCACAAATCCTGACCTCCAACCCCAGTACCACAGAAAGAAAAAAGAATAGAAAAATGTTTCATCAGATTTAAAGACTAAGCCATTGCCTACTCTACCTCTGGCTGTCATCATCATGGTTTATCAGACATTTTTGCCTTTAGCACTGTTTATTTGATGTTTCCTTTGGCCAGGCACAGGGCACCATGCCTGGGCACACAAAGATCCCTGGGCATTCCATCTGCCTATGTTGGATCCTGTTCATCCTCAGCGGACAGCTCTCCACAACAGAAACCTTGTCACTCATCTGTACCCCCAGCATCTAGCCTGTAACATCCCATGAACCCAAACAATGAGATATGGACAGGATTCTAGTTCAATCAAGGTCGCTGTCTTGGCACCCAGATTCCCCCCTTCTCGTTTCTGGTGATACAAGGAACAATGGAAACTGGGAAGACCACACAGAAAATAAATTGAGGTAATAATAGACTGTGGTACAGAGAATGGGCTTTGGAATCCACTGGCCCCATCAGTTGCTTGCTGTGTGATTAGGGGCCACTTGCTTTGCCTTTCCGAGCATTAGTTTCCTCCTTTTCAACATGGGAAGAATAGTACAACTTTTCGTGGTGGTTGTGAGATAAAATACAAGGAGGTGGAAAGTGCTGGGAGGAAATTCGAGCTGTTTCCCCCATATTCAGGCTCTCCCCCAGCCCTGTTCATGGGAGGAGTGCAATTGGCCTGTGGTTAGTTCTGCCCAGTGAGCTGTGTGTGAGCAGAGGGAATGTGCTACTTCCAGGCTGGAGCACTTAGTGGTTGGTGTGCTCCAGTGCTCCTCTTTTCTTCCTGCCACAGTGAAGGGCCAGGGAGCAGCTGCCCCATTAGCCTGGCCCAGGACTGAGGTGACAATGCAGAGATCCAGTGGCCCGAAAATAGATGTGTAGCAAGAACAAAAACTGACTCTGATGTGTTGAGCCCCGAAATTTGGGTTGGCTTCCAAGCTGGTCTATCCTGAGCAATAAAAGAAGGAACAGGGAGGGCTGGGTGTATAGCTCAGTGGTAGAACATACGCCATGCGTGTAAGGCCCTGGGTTCCATCGCAGGACCATAAAAGAAAGGAAAAGATTAAGATGAATAATAAAAGGGACTAGTGTTCTCTGGGTGTCAGGAGATTCCCTGTATCCCTGCTATTCTCAACATGGCTTCTCCCATGACCTATTTCTGTCCCCTTTCCAGCCACATGGTTCCAAGTACTTGCCACCCCCCCCCAGCCCTCTGGCACACATAGATGCTCAGCCTGTAGATGGGGCACCAGCTCACAC